GGTGTTTTATGAAGAGCAATTATTTCATGTCTGAAATACACTCGGAGGAGTTGACATTACCTGCCAAACTGCAATTAGAAAATTTATCTTAATTTCAAAAAATATTTTCTATAACTTGTTGGATGTTTGTCGGATTCACTGCGTACCACTCGGCTAGTGCGGCCGCCATACTCTCATACCTATATACTGATAAAATTTTCAACTCTTCATAGAAGAAATATAATCGGCTCCAACTATATCTCATAGCCCCCAGAAGAAGAGGGTGTAATCTATTTATCAGCATTCACGTAATTCCAACTAAATAATTGTAAAGATAAATATTTATATATATTACATAATGTAGATATATATACATATGTATGTATGATATGTACTTGGAACGCATATTAAAATATATAGTGGATGTAGATGAGGTATTGTATAATAAACCTGTGGAGAGTAGGTTAGTGTAACACACGCCTCAAAATTTTGCATATGAAATTATTTACTTATACATACCTACATATGTACATACATTTACATGCATACAACTGTCTGTGGGAAGGAAAGGCAAATGCATAAGAAAATAAATATTACTTATATTTATCAGTGCGTAAAAAAACACATATGTATACTTGTACAAAACTATATACGCACGAGGGGATCAACAAAAGTTCGGTAAGATGACCAGAAAAAAAATTATTTTTTTATTTATTCGTAATCTTCGTCCTTATTTATCTTCTCTACATAATCGCCATTGATTTCAATGCATTTCTTAAGCCTATAGATCCACTTCTCAAAGCAGCCTTCAAAATCTTGCGTTTTTAAGATTATTAAGTTCAGCATTAACGGTATTAATTATCTCGTCGTTGCTATTAAAGACATTTCCTTTTACATTTTTTTTTAATTTTTAGAAATAACCATAAATCACAAGGTGCTATATCCGGGGAATATGAGGCCTTGATTCCAGAGATCGCAATAGCATTACGTGTTATTTCAGCAGTGTGGGATGGCGCGTTGTCATGACGTAAGAAGTAGCGCCGCAAATGCTCTTTCTTCCTGTTTTCCAACAAATTTTTGAAAACACTTGGTAAGCATTCTTCGGTGTACTATTTTGCAGTCACCGTCTGACCCGTTTCCAGTGGAATAGCAGCCCAGTTTTTAGATCGGGTGAAGTATTCTGGAATCATTTCTTTTGCTACTGATTTTTATTGCTTAGATTTTACGGGTGAATTTGCTTCTTGTGAGCTCCATACCTTGGACTGCTGTATGGTTCCTGGATTGGATCGTACATAAAGAACCAAGATTCGTCGCCAGTAACGACTTTACTAAAGTTGTTGGACTGACCATTTTCCAACTTGTTTAGGAAAAGTTGAATAAAATTCACTCGAGCTTCTTTTTGGGCTTCATTTAAAATTCGTGGTACCCATCGAGCAGATTTCTTCGTGTATTTCAGATAATTATTTAATATTCGCGATACAGTCATGGTATTCAAGCCCACATCATGGCAACCATTTCTTTTATTCATCGTTGATCCTCGTCAATTTTGAACTTCATCAGAGCTACGAGTGGCGCAACAGTGGAAGGTTTTGGTCGACCGCCTCAGATCTCATACTCTACGCTCAGGACTCTTCGGAGCCACTTAGAAATATTCTGTAAAGTCGGTCCAATCGTTCCATATGCAATTTGGCATTCACTGTATACTTTTATTGGCTGCAAATTACGAAGAAACTTGGAGAGAATCACATGGCGAATTTCTGTTTGCCTTGTTGGTGATGGAATTTCGTCTGAACTATCCTCAGTTATCTCGTGTTTCCCGTCTCCCATTAAACCGATCGTTCTAAAATTTGAAAGGCAGACTAATAAGGTAATTGCAAAAGGTTTTGGTATTTTTAGAATTAACAAAAACAAATTGAAAGTCACCAAATGACCGAACTTTTGTCAATCCCCTCGTTCATATGCAGTAATATACAGTTAGTTAATGTTTATTTACTTATATGTATGTTTACACCAGTTTGTTAAAAAGTTCCAGGAAGGACGCTAGTTTGTTTCTAATTCATTAATAAACAAGAAATTAAACTATAATATTTTGAAATTACTTTAGCTGTCAGATTAGATTTTTAGATTGCACAAAAAGCTTTGCCTATGACTATGCCATCACGTAGGCCATTCATTGGGAAGCTAGGAAAGTCAACGGTGTTTTCATTTTGGCCTTCTGCATACATACTCGTACATATTATATAATATATAGGGTTATCCAATTCGTAGTTTCAAAACTTAACTGCCAAACGTGTTTTTTGTGAGCTAAAAGCCAGACATTTATGAGAATGGATCGCTTAACAATTGCGCAATGCTTTAAAATCATTTACGTTTCGGGCTTTAAGAGCAGATCTTGGTGGACATAAGCGTCGTTCGTTTGCTCGTTCCACCTCACACATAGCGCTAATGTAAGTGAAAGTGTAGCCGAAGTCCCTTTTTCAAGAGCTGGAATTTTCTTAGGCCGCATTATGGCCTGCGATTGAAGAGCATAACTTGGACTATATGTGGTTTCAACAAGAAGACCGTGTTTATGCCGATAAGCATTTAACCCTTGAGTACTATAAAACCACCATTGTTCGTCAAGTTATAGCTGAGATACTGCACCAATATGTTCCAAAAAGTGGTGGGGAATTGACGCAAACGGAACGAAATTTGAAAAAGAAAAGAGAATTGTGCGTACGTAATTCGGACAAGTTTGGATCTGTTTCGAATCCCACATTTATTCCAGTGAATCATCCGCATTCACAGAGATGCCGCGGAATGAAGCTTTGGTGGAATGGGTACTTTAGTAAACGAGATGATCACATTTGGAGTAATGATAATCCACAAACCATTTAGGCTTCATTATATAATCGACGGTTTGTAACCGCTGAAGCGATTTTCGGCCGACACCCTCCTCTAATTTCCAAAAAATTAAGGATTCAATGGCCACCTATGAACTGCTAGTGATTTTTTAGGAGGAGTCTTTAGATCATGTCAAAAATACACTCTTATGTACAAAGTAACTGGAACTGTGTGCTCTATGGGCAAGTATTCGTTGTATAGACCAAAATGAAGCCGGCGCTACATGCCGTACAGTCAACAAAAGGAGCGTATTATAACGCGTTGTAGGCCTGGAGCGATGGTGATCTAACACCGTCGGACTATTTTTTTTTTTTTTTTGTGGAATTTCGTGAAGTCGCTTGTCTGTGCAGATAAGCCCGAGATGTTCGTCGCCTTGGAAGAGAATATTCGGCGCGTTATTCCTAAAAATTATCCTTAAGATTACTTCTTTTTATGTTTGCTTCACTTCTTTAAATGGAACTGGTGGGTTCGTTTCTTACATGTCATTCTAAAAGAATAGCCTGCTGAGCGAGCTCATCAGGTTTTACATTAGCTTCAATGCACGTGTGGTCTAGCACACAGAAAAGATTAATTCGTCTTTTTTCAGACAGTTTTTGTATCGCCTCGTTTCATTCCACCGCCACAGCCAACTTCGTGTTGCATGAAATTAAGCGAGTATGATGCTGAGCATTGAATGTCTGAAGATCTTTTCGAGCCCATGCAGATATGTTATTTTGTCTAAAGCCGTCCACCATAGAGAAGTTTTGGGTTAGCAATCGCAATGAAGAACCAGCGGGACATAGTGAGTGAGGAAAGACTCCAAGTGCTGCCCAACATCATTTTACATGTATACGAGTATAGGAGCGCTGATTGATGCCCTTATCACCACGCTCATAGCCTGCGATCATTAATACCGGTAATTTGACTTGCACTTGAATCGGGCAGGTCTCGGTGCAAGGCGATTTAAACTACTTAAAATTTCTTGTCTCTGTTTTGACATGAATAACCGTGTGAGTGAGTTTTACATTTATACGAGTAGGTAAACATACATACATATATACTTACCGCCTACTTAATGAGTATGTACATAAAAATTGTTTTGAAATCAACACTCTTATGAAAATATTTAATATTGTGATAATCTTATCGTAGGACAAACATTGTAAATGTATTGGACATGGACACACACACGCTTCATTAAATGTAATTTTTATATATGTATGTACGTATGTATGAAACTTTTAGCGTACGTGAAAAAATGTGAAAGCTACATTTTGCCAGCGAAAAAGGGATATATGAAAATGAAAAATGAGAAAGTCGAGCATATAAGACATACATATGTACATGTACATATATATATTCGCTTTAGCATTTACAAATTAGACTTTTACACATACACTCGTAAAAATAGGTTACATATACATACATACATACATAGCTATGTGTTTACAGATGAAGATAAACTGAAAATTATAAATAAAATTGTAACAGTGTCAGACAGCGACAATGATACCTCTGAGCAAAAGGTGAGTGCTGTCTGCTGTAAATATGTAAATATGCGCCACACATGCATGTGCTTGATTACGCGTAAACTTGAACTCTATTTGGTTACCACGACGATCAAGCCGCACGTCTCGGACTCGGCGACTACCATTAAATCACTCCAACTGCGCTCTCAAGCAATTTGCCTAACTACCTTTATATTCTACTGTTGTGTTCGTTCACACTTTGGTGATGATGAACCGCTATTGTCTCCGTGAGACTGACATTTTTCTACAGGATACACGTTGTGCGTTTAACGGTTCCATTATGTGCGTACATTGCACTTAAATGGAGAGAATGGCTTCAGTGACTCATTTGCTAAGCTACAATTTGCAAGCAATTCTTAATATTTTTTCCCACATTCTTTTGCACAATATTATTTACAGCTTTATTTACAGGCATGTAGTACATAGATATATATATTTATATATATATATATATATATATCTTCTAATCGGTTTGTAATACATACATATACATATATTGTTTATCTCCTTTTGCTTATCACATACTTAATCTGCCACACGCTATCTTGCCAACTCCCCAAAGATATACTAAACACAAGATTCTTACTTTAAATTTCACACATATTTATCTTCCATTAAATTTATATAAATCGCTACAATCGCAAAGATAAATCAGTCAGCAACTGACTACACCATCAAACTGATTCCATCAGCGAAAAACTCATTTAGCAAAACTAAGTTCGCGTTTAGTTGCGCGAATTGCCAGCAGACCGAGTCGAGACCATTCGAGTATACCACAAATAAGGATAATAAAGTGTCAAAATGTTCGCGAGACCATTGCAATGTGCCGCCACAAAACCAAACCAGCAGTCAACGACGACGGCGCCACCGAATGCTCCCCACCAGTATACGATCTCCGATTATGGCTATGGCAAGGATAGTGTCAAAGTCTTGCATGTTAAGAGGAATGGGCCAGTGCACTCGATAAAAGAGTTCGAAGTGGGCACACACTTGAAGTTATACAGCCAAAAGGATTACTATCAAGGTAAGGAGATAAATTACATGCTATGTCATAGAGCGGTGCTCTAGAAAAGATTTTGTTTTTTTTTTGGAATTTTCGATCGGTAAATTTAATTTATGTTCTTAAAAAACGCAACGGGTACAGCGCTACGAGTAAACGTATGACGACTTATAGGTCTTGGCGTACCTGTGAGCAAGTGTTTGATATTTGTGTAACCGGTAGGTGACTGATCGACTGATCTGTAAATGATCGAGCGTGAGCAATGAGTGGCTGGTGAAATCCAGTGGGTCAATATTGAGATTCAGTGCACTACTACCTATGTGTTTACAGATGAAGATAAACTGCGGAAACACACGGGTATGAGGGGGAGCGACGAAAGAAATCTATAGAGTATACATATATATAATTTTTGCTTTTTTTCCTCGTCCTAATGTTTTTCCAAAAAATAAATAACTTAACTTCATGTCAAAAACACTCAGACGAGTTGACATTTTTTGCCGACTGACGAACGTAAAGTATACGAGTTCTCTTTTAGAAGCCATCTTGCTCAAGACTTAAGAGCATAAAACTGCGGAAGCTTTGCCTATTTGCGTTAGGAAAATAGTAGACTTTTTAGTCAACACGCTTCATGTTAAATCGATCAATAACTTAAAGCTTTAATTTTTAACGTATCTCAAGTTATCTCTACTACTTCACTCTCTTAGGTGATAACTCCGATATAGTTGCCACCGATTCGCAAAAGAACACCGTCTACCTGCTGGCGAAAAAGCACGGCATTGATAATCCCGAGAAGTTTGCACTAATTCTTGCCAATCACTTCCTCACCAAGTACGCGCATATCGCCGAGGCGCATATCCATGTCGAGGAATATCCATGGGAACGTATTGCACAGGAGGATAGCGGCATTTGTGATAACAATTACACATCGATAAATAATCGTCAACGTCACAATCACGCCTTCATATTTACACCGATAGCGCAACGTTATTGTGATGTGGTGCTGAGGCGCGCTGGTAAGTCTGCCTTGATGTTCTTCCATCTTTTTTATATTTTATTCTCTTTATCCTTTCACCGTAGATCCAAAACAAACTATCATTAGCGGCATTAAGGGTCTGCGCGTGCTCAAAACTACGCAATCCTCTTTTGTGAACTTCGTCAACGATGAATTTCGTTCATTACCCGATCAATATGATCGTCTCTTTAGCACCATTGTCGATTGTTGTTGGGAATATTCAAATATTGATGATGTGAAATTCTGTCAAACTTGGAATAAAGTGAAAAATATTATAATTCAAAATTTTGCTGGTGATCCCAATGTGGGCGTGTCTTCGGTATCGGTACAGAATACACTCTACCTCACCCAGAAGGAGGTACTCGATGTTATACCACAAGTTTCGGTCATTTCGATGACTTTGCCCAACAAACATTACTTCAATTTCGATACGAAGCCATTCCAGAGTGTTGCACCCGGTGAAAATAATGAAGTTTTCATACCAACCGATAAACCACACGGCACCATCTATGCACAATTGGCAAGGAAGGATCTGAAGTGTCATTTATGAAAGTAACAGGCGATTTAAAATGTTATAACCAGTAGTTATGTAGTTGTTTTGTAGTTTATTATTATCAAATTGTTTCTTTTATTCAATAAAATTACAAAAAAAAAATGAATTGCAGTTTAAAATTTTTTCATACAAGTTAAAGCTCTCTGAGAGTTTAGCTAACGTACCATTTGACTGGTGGACATGATTGCGACTCTAGAACACCGCTTGTTTCTCCATACAGTCTTATCAAAACCATGTCTAAGTGATTTGAGAGGTCTTCAGAGCTGAGTAACCTAGACAAACTCTCAAGTCCAGCTCTTTCTTAGCCTACAAAAAACCGTCCTACTATAGGGCGATTTTTAAGAGCTAAAAGAAAGTTTCTCAAAAAACAAACACTTAAATTTTAGAAAGAGACATGAAATCTTAATTGATATTACGATCCATATAATTTAACGTTTGAAGATTATTGCATGCAAATGTTGTCCGAGACTGCGCCTCAAACAGTCCATCCGCCTTGCCCATACTTTTTCCAACATTTCGGCCGGTATCGCACAAATAAATGATTCAACGTTGCTCTCCATTTCCTCAATTGAAGCAGGTTTGTCTGAATAGACATTAAATTTAACGTAGCCCCACAAAAAAATAGTCTAAAGGCGTTAAATCGCACGATCTAGGCGGCCATTCGACCGGAGACGAACGTGAAAAAAAGTGTTCATCGAGCTCGCCTCTCAATAAGTCCATTGTTACGCGTGCTGTGTGGCATGTGGCACTGTCTCGTTGAAACCACATGTCATGCTAGTCAAGCTCTTACATTTTGGGTAAAAGAAAAGTTTGATATCATCTCACGGTAGCGCTCACCATTTGCAGTTACTTTATGATTCACATAATCCTTGAAGTACTGCGGGCCAATGATGCCACCAGCCCATAAGCCGCACCAAATTATTATTTTTTATGGATGTATTTGTAACTCTTGCAATGCTTCTGGCTGATCGTCATTCCAAAATGGACAATTCTGTTTATTTGCGCAACAATTAAGCCAAAAATGAGCTTCGAAGCCCGCGATGAACTCTCTTAACAGAGCGCGCATTTTGATAATAAAATTCAATTATTTGCAAGCTTTGTTCGTTTGTAAGATGATTCATGGTTAAATTATAGACCAAATTAAAGATGTTTGACCGTGAAATAAAACACGAAAGCGGGGACGATGTCGACATCGAGTCGGTGTTGGTTTTTTTTTTTTTTAAATAAAGGTTTTGCGGAAGATTGCATTTGGCTACGGTGAATAACGCAGACGATGGACCGATGAGATGTTCGGTATAAACGGCAAGAAATCGTCAACGCTAGCTAGGTCATGTCAACACTGAAAGTTTACGATTTAGAACCTGCAGAGGGATAAGAAAATCTCCATACCGGTAGAGGATCAGGAAGAGACATAGTTTTTTCTAGACTCTTGTTGATGTAATGTGACATGTTTTCGGCTAGCTCTATGCCAGAATATCAGTCACTCTTTGAACCGTAAAGAAATCCATCGCATCGCTACCCTAGGCAAAAAGTGTTGGGTTTCTTCACATATGGCTGGAAACTATGAAAGAGTGAGGGTGGTATTCCTGGTGCCAGAATCGCAAAAATAAATGCAGAACATATAATGGTAAACTTACTAAGCTCTTTATAGCGAAAATGAAGTCAGACTCCTCCAGACGGATTACCGGACTAATGATCTACAATCCGCATGCCTTCAATTTATGTCTAGTAGAGTGCAACATGTGCAAGAAATACGGAGAATCTGTGAGTGCCTTTCATTCGGCAGACCCTCTTAACTAGAAAAGTTGAATGACCTTCAATAAGAAATGGGTGAAGGATGAAAACCACTATTTCACTACAACTTTACGAAAAGAACTGCAAAGCAGAAACAATAAAAGTAGTGTATCTGGTAACATCATGGAGTTGGTCTATGTTTTACTCGCTAGAGTCAACCTGACCTAACCTCATCAAAACAGGTTTCAGATGCAAACAATTTAATTTCTATTTAAACAACTTCTGCGACAAGTTAGAACAGACACGCGAGATAACTTAGGTCTTAGGAAATTATTATCCAAAAAACTAACTACTCCTAAGCTACGACGCAATCAATGCGGAAAGTGGGCTGGTTGCAGTGAGAAATCCCTGGAAGACGTGGGACAACAAGCATTTTCGAAGGTGTACGTATGCTACACTCCGACCTGCAGGGGATAGCGTAAAACCTGTTCGATCCGACATCATAACCAGTGGCAAAATACTTTTGGAAATTAACGACTCGAAACTGTTTAAATGCTCCGGTACGGACTGTACATTTTCAGCTATGATGCAGAACGTAACAACCATATTTTCTAATTACCTTAACTATTGCATATTCTTTGGAAAGGCCAGAGTCGTACCGAAGACAGTCAAATGAGTTCTGCTTAATTCGTTAAGATAACAAGTCTAACTTCAGTCCTTCTGACTGTATGTTAAAATAATATGAACGCTTACATTAGAGACAAGTTTTCATCAGCTAACATATCAAAACCATAGCACACCTATAGGAGAATAGACTGAGACTGCACTTCACTCACCAACCCTGAATTTAAAAAGAGCTCTAAAGTAGTAGAACATAAGTGGAGCACTCAACAATGTATTCAATGGCGCAGCCATTAATAGTCTGCCAGCAGTACGGATAGAGGCCACTATCTTCTTATGAATAAAAGCTCTACTGAGCTGCGGGAAAATTAACGGGGAATGGAACGCAGCCAGACGGCTCCGATAACACGTGCAAAAACTCTTCAGGAAGGTGTACTGCCACCGCTCCCGTGGTCAAATGAGGTTTTAAAAATTTTTAAAGACAGCATCCAAGCTGATAGCTTATGATGACGAGCCATTACGTGTAGTGTCTTAATGGTTAACGCACTAAAAGTCAAACAGCGATGAGCGACATCGGCTAACAAGGAGGTACCAGACCCCGGTATGTAAAGCCTGGAGTCTAGAATTATCAATTACTGATCATACCAATGACCTGGGAGTAATTTTTAAAGCATACTGATGAGGCAAAAACCAGTGGTACCCTATACGCACATAACGGTCTACATGGGATCTCTCGCCACGTCTTATGCATTAACAGCGGCAATCAAACCAATCTTGCTTTATGATACTTTCGTGCAGTAGCCCAACGGCCAACAAAATCTCTTACAGAAAACCATTGGAGCGAATAAAACGGGTAATTAAACTCTACATAACGATTGCGCGGAGAACCACTCCAACGGCAGAATAAGAAAGGTCATACAATCTATCATCAATCGGCTTTGCAGTGGTATTGCTTTGCTGCGAAGTCAGCTGGAGAATGGGAAATAGAGTATTGCGGCAGAGAATATCCTTGGAAGCAGATAGGCGATAGTATTGGCGGCTGCAAAAAAACAGGTTTCAGGATAAAAGAGCATTACGGAAAACGAAATAATTGATGAGATTACCAAAAGCTTCGTCTGGCTACCAAACTAGTACAAAAACTACGCTGACAAACGAATCAAGGTGAGATGGATTGCCTTAACCACATGGCTAACTACAAGATCATCTGCAAGAAAACCGCAGCAGTTTTTTGTTAGCCACATCCCTCAGTAACGATTACATACGCAGCAAGCCCAAGGACGGGGGCATGAGTGAGCCGCTGGAATATCTGCACTGCCTCTTTCGGTCTTATATAGAGCTGGCTTTAGGTATCTAGGAACTTCACAGTTCGAAGGAATATATGTATATAGTATGAACATTAGATCAACATTAGATATAAAGCATCGCAGAGAGCGTTGACCTCCTAGGTGACGACTACTTCGGCTCGAACTAAACTGAACCGCTATCTAACATTACAAAGCAATAACAACTTCATATATACCCAATATACCCTAACCTAACGAGTGGAAAAAAACAGCAAAATAGAGAAAAGATTTTTATTTTGGACATGAATATTTTTCGCGAAGATTAGCTCAAGTTTAAGTATATTTTATAATACATATTTACACAGTTTTATTTCAACCCACTTAAATGACTAGTAATTATATAACTTCATAATATGAATATTTAATTTTCCAAAAACAAAAAATTACAAATTTATTTTCACATTGAAAACAGCTGATTACAAATCTACATACATATGAACTCACTGCTGTATGTACGGCCTCACTATGCTACACCTATCCGTTTCAATGCCGCCGCACAACAATAACACCAAGCCGCCACCATTGATTTGCAACAATTTGCCTGCCAAAGGCACCGCCAGTTCGATTCTTGGGAAGAGTCCAACGGCGTTCTGCAACCAACCCTGAATGGCAACGAATTTATATAGATGATAGAAATCCGCTTGATGTTCGCCCAAAGTCAGCAGGAATAATTCACCATCGCCCATGGTGAATGTGTGAAACTTATCGATGCGCATTGGCAATTTAATAATCTGGAAGGGCTTATATGAAATCACCGGATCGGTCTTTAACTCGAAAACATTAATGCTGTGACACTTTACACAACTCAATAGCATTTGGTAACGTTCCGTTTGCACTTCGACCAACTCCATCACATCGAACGGACCATCAATGACCTGAGCGAGTCGAAAGTGTTCCTTCACGGGCTCGAAGTGGTATATGCTCACAGCTGATTGCTTATCCATCCACGAGGAACTGGCCAACGCCGTTAAATTGCGTAATTTAAAGACATGCATCGTGTTGCCAATACCGAAAGCTATTGTTTGCAAATCGACAACCTCATTACCCTCATCATCCACACGCACCAAACGCACTTCATTACGACCACGATGCCGATCGATGGCATGTAGCAAGAGATAGAGTTTACCCTCGTTTCCATCGAAAAACTGCATGCTCTCAATGTATTTCCGCATGCCAAAGAGTTTCGATACTACACGTCCATTCACGGTAATTCTACTTTTTATCTTGTGCGGTCGCCTATCGCAATGGTTTTGTGCGCGCGCCCATACTTCACCATGGCGCGCCATCAAGGAGCTTGTAGTGAGGTTGGCTATGAAGAGTCTTTGACTTTCTTGCGCATACTGCACTTGGAGCAGTCGGTGCTCACATACGGAAATATGTTGCAAATTCATGAGGTAAGTCTCATTCACACTTTCATTGGCATATTGGCGCAACACTTCGATCTTGTAATCAAAGTCTAGATACAACAAATGTTGACGGCTGCTGTTATTCGCATTTGCGCTGAGGTTTGAAAGCTCTTCTACAACATCGGTTAATTGTGCGCGGTAGTCGGTTTGCATATCTTCAATTTCCTGTTCGTCCTGTGATGTGTGTTCAGCCTCAGTATGCTCGACATCCGTGGACAATGTTCTTTCTATGTCTTCCATGCGCATATTACGCACGAGCACTAAACCCTTCATGAATTCACCTTTATCTAGGGTAAGATTATCAAAATGATAGCTTCCCATGGTGAAAATGGTCTGTTTAACCATATCCAACAAACGTTCGCCATTAAAATTTAAAACATGCGCCGGCCCATTAAAGATCAGATTGCCGTCGATGACCGTTTGCCCATCAATCACTTGCACATGTGCGCTCTTCTTGAATATCATATCGTCGATCGCGATGCCATTTATGGACTGCAGCAGTGTTTCATTGTTTAGGTTCAGATTTTCAAATGTCAGAAAACCTTGCACATCTTGCGGCTCGCCATTCAGTCTTATCCGATTCATGAGCATATAATTCAGGCTCATATCATTCACATCGCCAATTTGGAGTGCATCCTCCACCACTAGACTGTGCATTTTTACCGGTGGCATCACACCTTGGGAACTTGTGTAAATCTGCGCTGTGGTCTTGCCATTAACCGTGCCCTGTACCAGTAGTTGACCGACGATGGGTGGTATTTTGAAATACAGTGGGCCTTCAATGGGTATCTCTCGGGAGGGCCGATAGAGCGAGTCATGAAAACGTTGCACATCAATCGTATTTAATAGCTCAATCCTTATTGATCCACTTACTATAGCGCTCTGCAGACGCAACGTTTTGTGAAACAATTTACCGCCTGCTATCGTTTGTGGTATCGTGGTGTTCTTCAGCAGGCAATCACCCGCGATATAACTGAGATCCACCCCACTGGGAAATTGTGTACGCGTACGCATTCTGCTTATAAGCGGCTGTGACATTTGCACTGTACCCGAGATCAATTGATCACCATCGCGTCGTACAGCCTGTCGGTGGAGATATTGTAGTTGCTCGTATTGTTTCGGACTGCCAGCCGAAGACTCATTCCAGTAGGCATTACCGTGTACGACCACATTTCGCCAACGCTTCTGCGGCAGCTGTTGTAGCTGTTCATTGAGTGTGGCGAAGTTTAAGGAGCTTGCAAAGTTACCATTCAAATCACCTTGTACCGTTAGCTTCGGTATGATAAGATCGCTTTGTATTGTAAGCTCTTTGGCGCGTGTATCTAAGAACGTACTTGTCGGTACGTTATTAATGATGCTCACATCGAGATTCGTTAAACGTAAATTGCCGAATGTGTAATTGCCGGTGATCTCTTGTGCTTTGGACTTTAGAAGCACATTGCTGAAAACTTCACGCATGTCGTTACCATTTAACCCAGTCGTAAGTAGCTTATTCTTCACCGTAAGACCTGTCATGAATACCGTAGTGCCATTTATTACTGCATTCTCATTTATACGCACCAAACTTGTAACGTATTCCGACCATAGAATGTCGTTTACTGTTTCCACCTGCAAATTCTCCGCAAACTGCACATTACCATCGACTACGAGGTCCTTATGCAACACAAGCTGCTCATTCTCCACCTTCAACCTGTCGAAAATCTTATCGAAGGCGATCCCATTGATCTTATGTATGACTATATTACTCGCTTGCAGGCGATAAGGCAGATGGAGTTGCTTGAAATATTGGTCACGTCTCAGTGTCTCATCTTCATGTGCATCATTCAAGAAGGCATAGTTCAGAGCTTCTTTCACGTGAGCCTGTTGGGTAACCACGAGTTTGTCGAAGGACTTATTGCCGAAAAAGCGAAACTCTCGCTGTAGCTCAGACTTGAGCACTAGCTCGTTAGCCGAAAAATTATTCAATTTGTTCGTCGTTAGATGTTCGATGGTAAGGGGCGCATGGAAAAACTTCCATCCTGTTATATTTGCTGTGTCACCATATCGCACTACATCTTCTGAGAGTTCCAACAATTTTGATTTATACGCCTGACAAATGACATCGCCGTCTATATTGGCGAGCATAAAAATGAGTAGGAGTGGCATTTGTAGTGGTGGATGACCTGTGGTGAGTAAGTGTTGTAAGGTGGGGTGTCCATTCAACCAATTCGTGGCAAATTGTGGTGTTGTAATTTTAGCATTTCCAAATTTAACGGGGGTGTGTATGTCCTGTGTGGAGTAACATAGATAAATAGAATTTTAAGACACTACCAAGTTAACAAAGTTTGCTGAGCTACTGAGTACTCTCTCTCTCTCTCTCATTCTCCTTCTTTTTTTCTATTCTTTTTGGCTGGTTCCCTCCGTCTGTCTCTTTCCCGCTCTCCTACCCTCCCTCTTCCTTTTCCTCAATCTCACTTTTTTTTCTCTCGCTCTCTCACATCCTTTCTCTCTATCTCTTTTTCCCTCCCTTCCTAATTCTCTCCTCTCTCTCTGTGTTTCTCTTTCTCTCTAATCCTCTATTTACCTGTGGTGTGTTCTGCAATAAGTACACATCTCTCAACATCGACTCTGTGAAAGGCAAACCATTTACGAAAACCGCGGTCGCAAACGGGTTATCGCGCCCCACATTATCCACCGTCAGAGAGCCGGTAATGATAACTTTGCCTGTGTAGAATTGCTGAAATTGGGAGTCCTCATCGTCGATATCGCGCTCTTTCTTCGGTTTGTAGCCTACCAGCAAATCGCCGGCTACTCTCATTTTCTTAAGTTCAACTGGACCTGAAGAAGATTAAAAAAGGAAATATAACATCTGATTCAGCACACATCTGTCGACAGCGCCACTCCTCAGTAGCCAAAGATCTGTTTTCACAATTAAAGGAAATTACCATCAATTAAATCGTCTCTGCCACTAAAAGCGACGTCTTCTGTAAAATTCAAGCCATTCACCGAATCCGCCTGTACATCCCGAACTGTTACCGAATGTATGAACATCTTCGTATGAACAACTTGTGGTTCCTTCAAGTTGAAAAGTTGCGCAACTTTTAGATCATTCAATGAGGTGGTGTTAAGTGTATCCACTTTTGTCGCGCCTTGCAGTATGAGACTGCCTTTCAACTTAGAATCGCGATTGCGTAAAAATATCGAATTGAAAAATTCTGCTACGGAGACATTATTAATACGCTCCACGCTTAGATTACGCACTTGCAGTGGAATATTCGGTGCACTCCTGGCATTCTCACGTGGTTGCCGAAAAGATTGGCGCGTTAGCAGCTGCGGTGTGCTCAAAACTTTAGTACGTATGGCAGAGCGTATTGAGAGTATGGGCAAGCCTGTGCTAGAACCGTTGTTTAAGTAGAAGCCTTTAGAAAAAAAGCAATTAATAAATCAAGAAACTATGAGTGCTTGATATCTCGCAAACATACCAGGCAAAAGTGAGCCATTATAAAGGAGGTTGCTAACTTCCAGCCGCTGAACCTTCGCCACACTTGGTATTTCCAATATAAAACCGGGCTGTTGAGGCGTGGCGCGCATAAAACGCGTGCTACGTGTTGGCGCACGCAAACTCTGCACACGCTGTATCAACTGTATTGGACTCTGTAGTGCGTCACCCATAATACGTACTATGCCTATATTACCCGCGTGTAAGCGCACGGCGTGTGCCGCCTTGAGCTTTTGAAGTTTTGGACGCAAAATGGCGGCAGCTTTGCGAAAGACATCCATGGCTGTCTTACGTTGCAGCAGCAAACTTCTAAGCCTTTGTACTGTGCCTTCAAAGAGATGTTGGTGCTCCTGCAGCGCACTCAAATCTGAAAATAGTGAAATTTATAATGCATTAAACTGAAAGCCTTCAAGAAGCCACGTTCTTTCTCTCGCCAGCCAACTGACCTTCTAAGCCAGTGTCATTCAACGTCGCCGGCGCGCTCGCACCCAAGCGCTCTCCATCTGCAGTTTCCACCTCGAACATACGCAGTAAAGTGTTAAATGGTCGCCGATAATTGAGCAGCACAAATGATTCGTCCTGCTGACTCACATGCGTCATTATCTCACTAACATCACTTTCGTTTGCCGAGAAGCTCGCATAGCAATCCATGCGCGCATTGGGATAAACATTGAGCGCTCTTTGATGTGTGCCAACCAAAAAATGTTTACCCCCCACGAAACGCTCGAATGTCAACTCCTTGCCATTAAATTGTCGGAATACAGTGAATTGTCCTTCGTCGCGCTTCATGCGATACGTGTTGCATTTCTGCTGCTGTGAGGCACAACCAATGAGATAATTACGTCCGCGAAATGTGTAAGCATGCACCGTACGGGCGGGTATTGTGAGCGTTTGACGATTACGTAAATGCAAGTCGTTTGCATCGATTTCGTAAACCACAATGATAGTCTAGTGTGAAAGGGATATTTAGTGCTCAACTCATGTAGAATAATTTTTTTTTTCAATTACCCTGCCTTGATGCTTTATTAGACGCCCACTAAGCAAATATATCGGTCCCGTGCCAATAACTTCCATCATATGTATAGCCGGTATTGTTAGATCTTCAACCGTAGCGAAAAATGTATTCGACCATTCATAAGTTCTGAAATTTTGGGCGAAATAAATGTAGTGGACTAAAATCTGTCCGATCCGTGGTGGATATTTTAAAGTAAAGATTACGAGATAAACACCAACAGAGAATGCAGGAAAGAAAGCATAAGCAAGACGGAGGAACACCTTCTCTTAGGAGTTTTGCAATTCAAAGAACTAGAAGAAGTGTCAAAGCTGAAATCGAATCGCCACTAGAACCGAGATTTCCCATGAGCTTTTTGCACTAAAAAAAAACATAACCCTTTCTAATCTCTTTCGCGTAGGTAAAAAATTCTCAGTCCGTACGTCTTTTCGAGCGCACCACCCCACTCCTTATGTTAACCAACCCAGACAAGATTGGATGCAACTAGGACTACCATGTATTCATCTCTACTGTTCTTTCCTTACTCTTACCCAGTCTATTTTGATATAGTCTACGATAAATTGCCATAGCCTGACTCTGTTGAGATAGTCTGCTTGACTATCATATTTCGACCATAACTGTCAATTCGTTTGCCTCCTGAAGTTAGGGTACAGCGACCCAGGCGGGAATAAGTACATACGTGCAATCCTGATTCAACTAATTTATTGAACGTTTAAATCGTTCAGAGGTTTCAAGACACGAACCCCCGGTACCCTCAGCTAATAGATTCTTCTTCTTTATATTTAATATTTTTTATTCAAGTGCAACGTGGCTAATACTAATTTGCAGACGTTACATGCGGTGAGTCGCAGACTCGAAGCCAATATCCGAGAATTTGGAAAATCGCTTTTCGGTAGGGAATGCCAAGCCATCCGAGTGTATTTTCGGCAAAAAATAAAAATTCGTCATTGAAAATCAGCCGACTGGAGACGGCGTAGAATAAAGTGTGAGTCTTTCCATTTATTGAAAGACATCAACATGTACATACATCACAAATCGCTGAGGGATTCTGCCGAACCCTGGACTTTAATCCAACGTAAACTTGTACTCACCGCAATTTTGATTGTAATTTCGTATAATTCACCGCCGTTAAAAGCATAACTCGTTCCGCGTCAGCATTGAAAAGGAAAAGCTTACGAAATCGACCGTTCCAGGTAAGTTGTTGTATTGGTTCGAAATTTGTTATTGTGTCTCTAGAGACTTGACCCGATTTCGTAGCCTCAGCATTTTGCGCCAATAAGACAGCGTTCAGTTGATAAATCTCCAAATATTCCTCCAAAGCAATGACCAGCAACAAATACTTACGCCAAGCGATAATCTTCAAAAAAAATAAGAGAACAAAAAAAAAATATTTAAAAATAAAGACTCCCTTCAAATTTTATTTGAAAAAATGTTTCTGTTCCGCTCACCTCCGCTCCTATCGGCTCATTTTGTCTCACACCACCAGCCAATAGACCGATCAAGGATAAACGTTTCTCATCTCTGCTCACAATCAACACATACAATTCATTGCCGTGTAATATGAATAGTTGATTTTTGGTTCTTTCTTGTATTAAAAGCAAATTTCGTTCATTTTGTATATTCATATCCATAAAGGGTACACGAAATCGCAAGGCATTTTTCGGAGCGGCCGTCGCAGATTTGTTCGCGCATTTCGCTGGCTGTGGTGGCGTCGCGGGCGCAAAGGGCATCACGCTAGCGGCATCGGGCCGTCGTACTTGACTTAGACACTTTGAGTGACGATGAAAAGTATTTAAGTTTAAACCTGAAACTACTTTCTGTAATATTTATTCACTTACCACGTGTAATGAGAGTAAAAATTGGAAATAAAAATAAAAATGCATTTCCAATAAATTGTTTTATTTTATTTGCAGAAACATATGTATTTTATAAACTTTTGGAATTTGTTTTCTTCATTAGAACATATTTCGATTGAATTATTGGACGCGTGTAATTTCTTAAAAGTTAACGGATAGGCCAACAATTACTACTCAACATAAGCAAATGGAAACTAAAAGAGAAGTGAGTGGAACAGAAGAATATGCATTAAAAAGTGGAATTTAATACACAGAAGATTCCAAAAAAACAAAACGGCACATTAAATCCAATTAAAATTTTTAATAGGCTTAACTTTATTTTATTTTATTTTATTTTGTTTTACTTGTTTTTATTTTATTTAATTCCGATTTATAAATTTTATTATACTTTATTTATTTTATTTTTATATATTATTTCACATTCACTTATTTTATTTAATTTTTTTATTTCACTTCATTTCATTTTATTTTATATTTTTTTTTTAGTTTTTATTTTATTTTATTTTATTTTATTTTATTTTATTTTATTTTATTTTATTTTATTTTATTTTATTTTATTTTATTTTATTTTATTTTATTTTATTTCAATCTAGATTATTTTTTTAAAGTCGTCTTTAAATCATTTTGAATGGTATAAAACACAGTTTTTTTAGCGAAAAATTTCTATGCTATATTTTTTTCAGTTTTCTAGTCGATCTAAATGAGCATAACCTATTCCGATAGGTGTATCCGATGGATTGACAATGATAACATCGGCCTTGGGTTCGATCGGTGGAAAACGAGAGAAATCAAAAGGAAAGTGTCTGTAATTTGGTAAACTAATCGATATACTGCAAACTTCTGGCAAAACATCGAGCACAGCCCGTTCAGCGTTATAAGCTACATATTGGACACTAGTCGTGACATCACCTTGCACCGGATCTCCAGCAAAGGAACGCAATATCAAATCGCGTACTTTCAACCAATGCGTGGCAAAATCAATACCATCCACTTTTGCATACTGCCAACGAGCGTTCACTTCCGTACATAAAATGCGATCGGCCATATCGCCTTCGGAGAACATGTCGCCCTTCACATAACCGGTAAATGGAGCACGTGCGGTTTTTACGATACGCAAGCCGTAGAGTGTACCAATCAAAAGTGGTGGACAATCTGAAAGGGGATTCATAGTTAATAATTTTATTTTGGAAAAAAGTACTTCAGTCTTACCCCTCTTCCGCACAACTTCACAACTGTGTGTAATGTTTAAATTTCGCATGAACGCATGATTATGGCGCTTATCTTTATAGTAACCCTGTCGTTCCTGCTCACCAAAACGATCCCAAGCCAACTCTTTCACGGTCACATTCGATTCTTCGACCTGCTCATACATCTCCAAGAAGTGCTGTGTAAGCGTGAGAGCAAACTCCTCCGGTGTGTGTAGCCCATGCTTTTGGGCATGCGCATATACAGTGTTCTCCTGTACGTCACTACCGATAATATCGGAATTGTCGGCTAATGAAGGAAAAATAATTATTAAAATCAAATATTCCCATACCATACAACAACACTTTGGCTGTACCTTCATAATATTCCTTATGTGTACGTAAACGCATATGCGAGTTCACTTCATATTCGGTCACACTGTGTACGGGACCCTCCTTCTTGAGTTGGAACACACGCACACCTTGTTTGCCATAACCATAATCGCCCATACGGTAATTTGGTGCATCGGGATCGGTTATTTTGGTAGCTTTGCTAGGATCGGAATTATGTAGCTTGCGGGTGAACATCTTTAAGCGTGAAACTTTTGATGAGTAGTTAACTGTGTTGGAATCTCTTCAATACTAATTATTTAACAACGATTTTATAGCGTAAAAAGTGTAGAGTGATCTTTATATCTTATCTACCGTCATTAAAATGTACATAGACGCTCATATATATGAGACTTTCTTCATAAATAACTGAAGAATAATCGCGACATTATCAGCCTGAGTTTGTAAAATCCATAAATGCATGTGGATATATATAAATATATATCTACTCGTATATGCGAGTACATTGTCTCTCGTCCGCAATAGCTAAGTGCTTAGCAGCGTGAGCCATATGAAGCATCTTGAGTTCTTACTCTGGGCAGACCAACAACCTCGCCCTCGGCGGGGAATGTCAACGCCTCCTATTTGTGGCATGAAAATAAAACTGACTTCGAACTCCATGAACCGTTCAAAGGCAGCTTAAAACAGAACTGTAGGTCCCTATATTTATTGGGAAAATATTCATAAACTGAAAGACAAGAGAGATTTGTGCAATGTATCGTATGATCAATAGAAGCCTTACACCTACACTCTTGCAATTTGCCACGGATCAACAAAAAAGTTAACGCTTCTCCAATGGAGGACAACTACAGCTAAGACCTGTGAAAACCTCGGCCAGCTTTTTTACAAGCTGGACTAAGGAGAGCCGAAACAAAATCCTCAAAGCGTTAGTCGGTAGTACCTAGGGAATAGACAACGAAAAGTTGCTCGTCAAATACAAGACAATTGTCCGGCCGATCGTAAATAACTCTGCTCTTAGTTAGACGCCGGTAACTAGCGAGACGCTGATAAAGAGCCTACAAGTGTTTCACGACACTGCCTCCTGGCGTTGTCGGAGCATTAGTTACACAACGAAGCATTTATGCTACGCGTTAAGAAGCTTAATGCGATGCAGTAAAAGCAATATCTACAGGGATGTTATCATTGACTGCACATCCTGGGTATATCAGGAAGAGAGTATGCGACTGCAGAACAGGACGGCGTACCAGCGGACTTAAACGTCATTCATCTAGAGTACCGCAACACTTTCTTGAACTCTCTTCCAAGGAACGGCATTCTCAAATTCCAATCACAACCGATAGCAGACGTAGAAATCGAGCTACCTCGTGTGATTCGAGTATTAGTGAAACTAATGAGCTCTTTGCCTGCGCCTTAAAACCAACTCATCTAACCCACCTTTTCTCTCGGGTATGAACCCGTCGAAACCGATACAACAACAACCAAGTTCCATCAAGCTAAGGAAGGTGAGCTCAGAGGAAAACACGTTTTAGACTACCTAAGAAAAGGGTCCCGAAACGTATTGTATATATGAATAAAAACATTTTTGAGTTTGTTTATTGTTAAGCATTGAGCTAATCTTACAATATACATAGATATCCTGAAGATAAGTAGTCTTTCCGATTCTTTGATATCGGTCAACACCTATTTACAATTGGAATACTTTGCGGAGACATTATGGATCGAAAAAAGTTGACCATCAGCCATTTCTACTAATATAAACAAAAGCCAATCTAATTTCAATTGAATCCAATTTGATTTTACTTTGTTTAGATTAATAGTAGAGACGCCGGGACCATTATAAACGAGCTAAATTGCTGTTGGGGAACTTTTTGTCTCTCTTTCTCTCACTTCCTCCTCCTTGAAGTCTCTTTTTCCCTCACTTCCTCCCTCTCTCACTTACTCACTCAGTGTGACGAGTTTTTTATATGAAAAGAAAGTAAATAGCTTTTAGATTATACTATTTTTATGAACTTTTTTTTAAGTAGCAGAAGAAATTTTCTTCCGCAAGCTACGAGAACTATTCTATGGCGTTCAGAAATATTATCCCAGGCAACTCTTTCTCTCGCCATTGTGCGATAACTACTTTTCATGCAACCACCTTGTCCCGCTTAACATTTCTCGAGGGACTGCGTGGCTTACGTGCTGGACTTTTATTGGTACGCACGGGACTAACAGCTGGCTTTGCTGGCGGAATTAGTGGTTTCGCCGCCAGATTCGGAGATTTCAGTATGGATGGAAGTGTGGGTGGCTTGTTTGGCGGACTGGGTGATTTCCTTAAGTTTGGACGATTACACTGTTGTGGTCTAAAGAAAACTTTAGGCTTCAGCAAGACTTCACTGCGCACGATGGGTTTCGTTGTTAATCTCTTAAGTGAAATATCTAGTTTGTGTCGAATATCACTTAAATGCTCTCTCATAGCTTGTATTTCCATAGCGATTGATTGCCGATCGTGTTGCAAGCGTTGATGTTGGGCAAGCATATCTTCTAAAATTCTCTTCTGCTCACGAACCTCAAGAAAACGTTTCTGACTTATAGGATCGTTATAATCCGCATAATGGGGCATTGAACGACGCATACGTTGTTGTTGCTTTTGTGCGCGCACGGCTTTGATTTGTGGTATTGAAGCAGCTTTCAATGGTAACGTTGACTTTTGCATATAGTCTTTGAGTTCCAGATTGGTTTCTGGCGTTTCCACGCAAACGGTGTGTAGCTTCGGTGAAGTTTCTGTGGGAGTTTCAGTTAAAACTTTATTTTTCTCTACTGGATTGGTGGGATGCTCACGAGTTTTACGCACACTTTTATCTAAAAGTAAGTTATTTCTTAGTGTTACAGATAAGTCGGCATCCCCAGTATACGCCGGTCAAGTTATACGTACTCCTTAATTTAGTATGAACAGTTGCTACAATGCTATCGAATGATGCGCCCATTTCGGTTGCCATTGGTGGCTTCTCCTCAAGGGCTTTTCGTTTTCCCCCAATAACGACAGGTCGAAAATATGTTTCCGGTATTGAAGCCTCATTTAACTGACGATCGACCATATTGGGTAAGTTCAATCGATTGATATTGAGACCTGGAGTCATTTTGCACTGCTTTTATGATTTTATATGTTTAATTAACTAAAAACTAAGAAAAGATTCGTTCAATTGGCCAAATTTGGTTTATACTTAAAATTTAGATGTAATAAGAAAGTTTAGAAAAACAAAAAATTGGATTTGATTTTTTCATAAATTTTATTTTTTTTAACGAATTTGAAAACTAAACCATGGGTTCCGTTTTGCATAATTACGGTAGTAAGTGCACAAGGCTGTATTGACTTTGTTCAGAAAACGGTTCAACCCTACATCCAAACCAAGCAAAAATAACGCGATCGATCTTCGAAGTAATGCAATCTAGATTAAGCATTTGAGGAATTCAAAGCGCTCGGCTTGTTTCTGAAGCCCCAGCTATTCGTATATGAAATAGATAACTATTTACATAAAATTTCTACCATTTTTCTTACTTATCTTAAACGAACTCCCCCCACCTCTTTCTGATGACTCTAACTGCTAAGAAGGAATCACAATTACATTTTATAGCATTCTAATTTAATTTTCTACTATAGACGTCTTGTCAGCCATCGACAAATGCAACTCTGAACACTGCACTGTGGCACTGGAAGAAAAAAACAAAGCTGGCGAAAAAAATGGAGAAAACTGTCAAAAATTTACAAGCGTGCGGCTATGAGAGAGCGTCCTAATTCACAACAATTTTTAGTGCAATTTTTATTTCTTTAAAAAGCATTTGTTCTAATTATTTTCAACACAATAACAGCGGTATTGCATACTTAAACATTCGAAAGATGGGATCATCCAAAAAGCACAAGAAACATAAATCCGAACGGAGGGAAAAATATGAAGGTCTCCATTGAATTTGTGTATGCTTACCAGTGAGTTGTTGTTTAATATCAGTGTTTTTGCTTTTTATTTCAGAATATAGCAATAATATGGATCCGTCTCAACTCCAGCGTGGTTTGAAACTGATTCTCAAAGTTGGTACCAATTCCACACCAGAATACAGTGGCAATTCGCCACTTGCTGGTCCACCAACCGCCGTTGAAGCGATGATGTCGGCGGCGCCAAGTAGTCCAATAGAACAAGATGAGCAAGCTGAGGAATATCACGGTGAGAAACATAAGAAATCGAAGAAGAAGAAGAAAAAGAAGGATCGTGAAAAGAAACATAAACATCATAAGGAAAAACGACATCGCAGTGAACGACATGAACACAACAGTAGTGCCGAACATCGTGATGTGTCTACTGAGTTGCCAAATGAAGAGTGTAAGACAGAAGATATTGTAACAGCACCGGCCGCAACGGTACCCTTTGCACAACGCAGTCCAAGGAATACGGTCCAGCCTGCGGTAGATGGCGATTCTAGCCAAGATGGTTTTAGCTTTATGGAAGATGGAGACTCGCAACCTTTACCGGAAAATGTACTTTTATATGCAGGTATAACTACCGATAATTCACCTTCTTGTCGCCCAGTGTCAAAGCCCATAGTCCCACGCAAACCAGATGATAACTGTTTAGATTCCCCGGCTTCGTCTTCAATGCAATCTTCATCGCTTGGTGCTGCTGTTGTTGGCGGAATTAGCCCAACAAAACCATTACAAGATGTAGGTAGCAAATTTTTCATTAATTGTATCACTTTTAAATATGTATTTATATAGCTACTAATTCCGTCGCCCTCTGCATCAACGGCAGCTTCGACTCCCGGTGGAACAAGTTCTTTTGCTGCGCTTACACCAAAACAGCTAGAAGCCCCCAAAACACCAAGTTCATCAAGCGAATCTGGCAGAGAACCCCGTACCTGTGTACTTAAACTCAAACAACAGAAATCGCCTTTAAATAAGTTATTAGATCATTTATTACGTTTTCTCGAAAAACGTGATCCCCATCAGTTTTTCGCTTGGCCCGTTACTGATGATATAGCGCCGGGTTATTCATCCATAATTACGAAACCAATGGATTTTTCAACCATACGTCAGAAAATAGACGACAGTGAGTATGGAACTTTGACCGAGTTCACCGATGATTTTAAGCTGATGTGCGAGAATGCTATTCGCTACAACCATGTTGATACTGTATATCATAAGGCCGCAAAACGACTGTTACAAGTTGGTACAAAACATCTCATGCCAGAAAATCTAATGCGTAGTCTTAAGCCCTTATCGGGTTATATGCGGGATCTGACGGCAAAGGAACTGGGATTCGATTTACACGGCGATTTCGGTAATTACGACCATCATACTATTGACTCGGCAGACGAAGGTGCTTCAACAGGTGCCGAAGAGCAAACTGCAGCTCAGTTGGAAGAGGAGGAAAAACGACGAGCAATTCGTCTGAGGAATGAACCGAAAACACGCTTTGAACCATATGTTGACGATCTGACATCTGAAGAAATACTAGCACAAGTACAAGGGGCTGCACTAGCAGCCAAAAAGCGACTTTCTGCAAAAGAGAAGGCTCATAAAATGGGTTTCTTACGACAGAATAGAGATGGCACCACATCGTTAAATTTACTAATTAAAGATGAAAATGAAGGACCCGAGAAAGTTGTAAGTGTTGGTGAACTAGTGGGCAAACTACAATCCGGCTCTGGACAATTAATGTCTGCGCGGGAAGATAAACGAAACGACGCTAAAATGGTCAAACCGCTCAACTATGGCGCTTTCGCTTCATTTGCACCATGTTTTGATTCTCGCTTTTCGAATTTAAGTCGGGAAGAAACCCAATTGGTAATGCGAACCTACGGTAAGCACTCGACTAGAAATATTATTAATTATCATTTTAATTATATTATTCATCTAATTCAGGTGATGCTACAAGCACGGAATATGCTGAAAGCATATTAGAATTCACCAAAGATTCAAGCTATGCCTCGATGTTGGCCAATGGTCTATTGGATATTCTCACCAACGGTGAGCACAGTAAGACAATGTCCGATCTATATGATATGCAAGTACAAAATCACGAACAGAATGAAGTATTCAAATGCTTTAGTGCGTGCGGTGGCTTCGGTGGTCTTCAAACTGTGAATACGGCTTCAGAGACACGGGAACAAATCGAAGAAGAATATGAAAAGTACAAAAACACACGTATCGATTTCAATCGTTTGCGTACCCTAAAAGACCTTGGCATTGATATTGAGTTTTTGGATAATATCGAATCTGAAATGAAAAATTTTGAATTGACACGGCGTCTGCAAGAGCACTTAAGCAACAATTTAAATTTAATAGAAAAATTGCGCGCCACACAGCACGATCGACTCTCGCAACCACTGCCACAACATTTGGCTTACGTGCCCCAAGCTGGCGCCGAAGAAGTACATTTGGCACATCAAATTAGCCAGCAATTAACTGATGTTGCGAAAAAACTACCCCCTTCGGCTGTAGTTGATCCATATAGTCTACGCAAAGCTATGGGAATGTCAAATGGTTAGTTAATACTATATAAAATATTTTCTATAAATAATATAATTATTTAATATTTTTTCTTCTTATAGTGGGATTGCCACCTCCACCTCAGTCAGTGTCACAATTACAACGCGTAGCCTTGCCAGAAGTGCTCCAACAACCGGTTTCAATGCCCCAGATAGATCTAACGCCTCAAAATTCAAGTGTTCCGATCGCTGATGAACATAATAGTAATGTGTCTGCCACGAATATGCGTATGGAAATAGATGATGAAGAATTGCGTGAAATTTTGGAAAGTGGCAACAGTGATTTAAACGCATCGACGAGCGCTGATGAGAATCCTTGGTTATAAAATAAGAAGAGAAGCTTCGTAAATATTCACTATTTAACCTTAGTTTTATTCCCCATTTGCATTAACTGTAAAAACATTTTTTTATTGGATATTGCTGATTAAAAATAAAGGCGAATGATATACTATTATTTAAACAACTTGTTAAAAGTTGAATTAAATGACAAATTTTCAATATTTTTTGCAAAACGAAAAATAAAATATAGCCTGTATTTTAGAATTCATTTAAGTTATAAATATTTTAACTCAAACATCCTTGTAGGGTTAAAGAAAAAGTATCGATTTCATATTTTGCTAGTCGATTATTTAAATATGATAACTATGGTCTCTATTGAATTCACAAGCACGTTTTGTTTTCACGTTTGAGTTTTTGTCCGCGGATTTAAATTTTGTGCTAATATTTTTTATACTTGAAAGAAATTTTGATGCTTTGTAAGAGTTCACATTTTTTATAATATGGAAAATGAAAACGAACCCTGTGTTGTCAACGAGGTTGACAGTGAAAGCTGTTTGGAACAAGCGTTAACTGCTATAAAATCAATGGGTAACGATTTTTTTTATTATGTTCATTACAATATAAATATATTTTTTTCGTTAAACTTAGATGAGGAGGCCTATAAGGATGAAACAAACATAGATTCACTTGATATTAATATACAGAATAAGTGTGAAAATGCTGAAACAACTTTCATAAATACCTCTGGAACAAAGGATTTGGAACCAGATGAAACCAAAACCCAAGCCTCTATAGAAAATTTAAAGACTATTAACAATGATATGAGCCAACAAGCGGAGGTTGCTGCAATGAACACTGCCCCTTCGTGCGAAAATACGGCAATTGATGCTGCCAAAAAGGATACTATCATCATTGAGTCAGTGATTCAACTTGTACCAGCCCCTAAAGTGCCGAGCAGTGGGACACCTACAGTTGAAACACAGGCGGCCGTTATGGAGGTACTGGATATTAGCCAAACAAAACAGGACGATGATACCGTTGTTGCTGTAGAATCTAGTAATGTTCCCTTAGAAGCAGAGCAAGCTCTAAGGGGAACACAAGTAGACACTAGTGAATCTGGTAAGTTGTCTATATTCGACTTGTGATTAATATTCATTCCCCTTAACTGTTTATTGATTTAATTTCGACATCTATTACGCAGATACGACAGCAACAACAAGCTTAGGTATGCTCTCACAATATGGAGAAAACTCAGATGAAGATGAATCTAATGAATCCGAAACAGCTTCTGTAGTTGAAGTACCAACAACTAGTAAAAACTATCGGTCTCAAGTTGTTGAAATCGACTCGGACTCGACCGAAACCATTTCCTCAGATTCTGAATCCGAAACTGAAGTTGAATACTTAGCAAAAATTGCGAAAACCATCGAAAAGCGCATTGCTCCCAGTGACGATGACGATGATGAAGATGATGACAACGAAGAAGGAGGTACAAAAAAACATGGGCGTCGCCAACCGCCACGTGTTCGTGGTGAAATGTTGCTTGACGAATTGCCTCCTATACAGGATCTGCAAATTTCGGTGCCAGCAGAGGAATGTATAGAATTTGGAAGAGTTCATTCTATTGTAGATCAATTGTTATTAGTAAGCGCACTGCCAAACGCCATTTTACTCGATTTGGACACAGTTCTTTTTTTGGAGCAAGGCAAACGTGTACTGGGCGAAGTCTTCGATGTTTTAGGCCAAGTAGCAGATCCAATCTATTGCGTACGTTTCAATACAAATCAACACATACAAGAGAAGGGCATCAATGTAGGCGATATAGTATATGTGGCGCCAAAAACTGAATATACCCAATATGTGATACTTTCGAGTCTTATGAAAATGCGTGGCTCCGATGCATCATGGGAGAATGATATAGAACCACCACCACGATATTTAGATTACTCGGACGACGAAGAAGAACGCGAAGCAAGACAAAAGTTAAGAAAACATCGACGCCAGAGCATTAAAGAAGAACCAGAAGACAGTGATAATGATGCAGATGATATGGATAATGATCCAATGAAACGTAGCCGAAAGTACGATAATAGTGTGGCAACGCAGCAAAGACAAGAAAGAGCTGGCAATAGCGGGCGTCTCGATAATAGGAGAGGACGTCGCGATAATAGAGCACATGCGCCGCGTAACTATCAGCCGCAACATAACAGTAGTTGGCACTCACATTACAACCAACAATATCAACCCAGGCCCAGGCCGCCAATGCATAATTACGGTGCACCATATATTAACCCAAATCAACACCAACGCCCATTTTATCGTACACCACCTCCACGACACGCCAATTTTAATCCGTATGCACATCCACCAACGCATTTCCAGCAGCCGCAGATGCTACCACCAACGCAAATATCTGCACCACCACCAATGCACACAATGCCCCCACCGCAAATGTCGTTGTCACCACAGATGCACGCAATACCTCGACAGACAAATATGTATGTGCCAAATCCATTTGCCTTCCGCCCACCAACACTATCAACAGAACCAAAGTCGGAGGTACCGTCATCAACATCAGAGCCATCTCCACCAGGTGCGGATTAAGCGCTCAATTACACCTTAGTTTGTAATGTTAGAAATAAGTGCATTGAAAGTCCTAAAAACTAATGAAAGACTTTGAAATACATGAAGCATTTTGTTTTATTTTAATTGTTATTCTTATACATTTGTGTGGTAAAAATCTTATGTAAAAGTTTCTTATACTACATTTGTTTTATGTGTAGGTACATAATTGAAGTGGGCGAAATGTGGATTATATTAATTATTTACTTTTATTTAACATACAAAACATTTTACTATGAATGCTATTTTAAAAACGAAAATTGATTTATAAAACGTAAAGCTTCACTGAAGTAACATTTAGCCATTATAATGTATGCGTACATACATACTTGCACACAAATATTTGTTGGATTAGTTAGTATTTATGTAGTGTAAGCAGATAACAATAACTTTAAAATTAAGATAAAATACTATTAAAAATGTGTACTTTTCAGAAGGATGTGGTAAGGTATTAATTTAAATATGGTTTATTATATCATTTGCATTTGTATTAAAAATACAACTTAACTTTCATTGATGTAAATATATAAACTTGTGTTTATAAAAATTTGAACTTTTTTTCGAACGCTTATTCTAAAGCGATCATCTGTTGAGCACTGAAAACATTGCAAATTTATACTAATTTGCTGCAGGCACAAATATTCAACAATGCGATAATTAGCATTTGAAAGCGTATAAAAAGCCTATTTACAAAAACAAAACCAAGTTGAATACGCTAAGCTTCAAAGCACTTTTGTTTGTTCGTTTGCCATAGAGAATTCGGACGTGTTGGAATAAAATCTGCTAAATATGGTATAATACACGTATATTGTATATTCGCTGTATTTCTAGTCCCTAAAACGTTTGTTAGCGTCTATTATTGCAATTAATTTCTCGCTAATATTGTTGTAAATTAGGCGTTTTTAAAATTTTGCACTATATCGGATCTTTGTTTCAAAAATACAATAACAACTGTAATATTGTCTTGGGAGTCGCCATCTTTTGCCAATTCTATAAGAGTTTTCGGAATGTTTTCAATTTTTTGTTCGGCATCCGCCAAAGATTTGTATATCGTTTCTACTATTTTAGCTTCCGACACATGATCGAAAAGACCATCTGTGCCTAATACTACGAAGTCATGAGCCGCTGTCAGTGTTATATCCACAAAATCAGGTTCTGCGATTGCTGGTGCCACTGAGTAGTCGCCAATGGATCGCGATACGTTCAAAATACCATTTACGCGCCATTGTCCTTGCACGTACATTACAGTACCGCCACCCTCGGTCATTTCGATCCGTTTACGTTCATCCGGCGCATCAGGTTTATGCGATTTAACTAATTGCAAACTCACTGTTGGGCTGACGAGTAAAGCTTTTGAATCACCTACCCATGCGACATATAAGTGACCGTTTGCTGGCGTCACAGGATTTGATAGAAGTATGCAAACAGCTGTTGTACCACTAGAAATATTTTTTTGGGTAAACATTTTATCTGTTTGTAAGAAAGCATGCTCAAATGCTTCTCGGTAGTCTTTTATATCATATGTGTCATTAATTTTCGTCTTCAAACTTTCAGCTAGTATATATGGAAGTTGGCATGCCGCATAACTTGCGGCCAAAGGGCCTGAGTGACCATCGTAGACACCGTAAAAACTATATTTCGAGTTTAATTGATATATTTCACTAAAACGTTCCAAGCAAACGTGACGATCTTCCATTTTACGTGGCTTATTTTTGATATGACCACTGGTGTAAACTGTCGGTGTTGCTGATGCCACTGCATTGCAATTGCATTTTGCGCCATCGGCACATAATGCTTCCGTATCTGCGTAATTCGGCAAATTACTCACTTCTGTATTATCCGTCAAACGTGTTAGAAATTTTTCCAAGTTATTTACAACATATTTTTGTAATTTTACCAAATCATACACCATCTCCGTGTCCCTTTGCACATTTTCATCCTTTTTTGCGAGACTGAACTCGCATTCTTTTGCATTGCAAAGTCCCTGCTCAGATTCTTTGAAAACATTTCGCAGTATTGATAATTGAAAATATCTTGGGCATCGCTTTAATTGAAGTTGATTCCAAACGGTCATTATTATTTCGGCAGAAACTTCTTGAGAATACACTGGGTATGTTTCATTGCTACTGCGTGATATGCACACACGCGTCATCTCGCCAGTGTTTGATGCATTATTAACTGCTTCTAGCACTAATTCACGTAGAAAATCCTTAAATTCACGTAATCGAATACATTCATCTGGCTGGGACGCATTGTGTTCACTCACAGATTCCTTTTCCGACATTTCTAAAGAGCTATGCCCACATGAACGTACAGCCTCCAAAATTATTAAAGGGATATGTTTGCACTTAAATTTCAATCGCCCGTATTTTTCAATTATTAGTATTACACCACTTGCCTACTCATTTATTTATAGATAACAATTACTTATTTATTTCATTATTTGTTTTCATTCCAGCATCATCTAAATAGCACAGCGTTAACGCGCGGACTCAGCTGTTTTTCTAAAATGATTATTGCGATTTATCGATCACAAAGAGATTCGATGATTCATTAAATCGACATTTCCGGTTTAATTAAATTTAGTTTTATTTGTAAATATTTTCCGTTTTATATTTTATTAACTTTTACACTTTTAGGTGCATGTTAGGGGACTTGTTCATGTTAAAATCTTTACTGTAATCCTTTACGAATATCTTAACAAACACATAAATATTTGATTGAAAATAAATGGAGCATCACAAACTGATACCAAAAGCTAAAATTGTGAAAAGCACAAAAAGAGAATCCTTTAAAAAACAAACACATACATATTCGCTATATTTATGATGGTGTATCTTAATTATATTTTTATGTATGTTTGTATGTTTTTATTTTTGAATTAAATTTAATTATATTTAATAATAATTATAATGCTTATTAGTTTGTTATATTATCCAAGCCATCACTCATCCAATGTTATATGCAAATTCGCCGAAGGATGCAAGCCCAATTCCTTTATAGACGAGCCATCATGTTCTGCTTCAAGTGTTTTACGCGGAAAAGCACAGATTAATTTGTATGTGCCACCATTTTTTGTAACATGGGTATGCTTTTCGCCAATATAAAGCCTAAGCACTTTCAGCAGTGTATCTGAGGGCCAACGCAACTGTACAACTTCATCATTGCCCTCCGCATTGAGTAAACGTAATCGAAGTGCTGTCAGTTCATTAGTAGCTTTTCCAAGTTGATCTTCATAGGAAATCTTCGTTTTTTCATAAGCACTTTTGCTATCATCATCTCCAAATTCTTCCAATGACTCTAGTTCACTACTATCATCTCCATCATCATCATCCCCAATATTACTAGCACTTTTGCGTTTACCATTCGTACAGCCACTTTCTTGCATAGAATTTTTTATGGCTAAATTTATTTGTTCCTCTTCTGTTAGATCGAGCAATCGTAAGCGCTTTTTCTTTTCTGCTGCTCCTTCGACTTCCTGTTCATCATCTGATACAGTTATAGTGCGCTTAGAAGTTGATGGGCTATCGTCTGCGCCATCGTCAGAAAATTCTTTATGTTCACTTATGAAATCACGCAAGCCACTAAGCACATTTGACTCTTTGGGATCTATGCACTTCCACATTTCCTCGCCAGTGCGTGGATCGACCACACAAACGTAGGGCAAATTAGCACAATGATAAAATGTTACAAATCGACGACCCTCCGGGGTATCCGTATCAATCTGCAATAATTTTTTGTTAGACAATTATATATATTAATTTTAATTATATAACCATACTCACTTGCCACAATAAGAATTTCCTTTTAATAACTTGCCGCACTTCTTTATTGGCCCAGACATCACGATTTAGTACTTGTGAATTGAAGTTGTCATCTTGAACATTAACCAAGAGCCAGTTGCTAAGTGCAGTGGCCCGTGCACGTGCTGCTTGAAAAGTACCAGTGAATGATATATCGGTTGGTGGACGGAAAAGATCACCCAAGCGTGAAGTAGTTGCAGGCTTGGAGCTCGCTGACGACCCTTTTGAAACCGCTGTTACCATGGAGGCAGCTCTAGCGCTGCCCCAACGTCGACTCTGGATACCATTTGATGATGTTGCTGCACCAGAAGTGTCTGCTTGCAATTGTTCCTCCATTAGCGCACCTTCACGTGCAAAATCACGAAATGGACATATTTTAACACGCTGATTAATACGTTGCATACGTCCCGAATTGGGCAAAGAAGGTGCAGTTAAAAAATTGTCATCTTCAGGTCCAATTAATTGCTCTCGTCTCGGTGCGATGGGCGCACGAACATTGTCTTCATCATCTACTACGGCCGCAACAGCTGCATCAGGAGCTCCGCCGCCCTGCTCAAAATATAAGGCAACAGCTGACTCCACGTCGCTATTGCAGGCACTCAATAAATGCTTAGCCTCTTCTGCACTGGCACCCGTTACCTCAACGACACGCTCCACTAGTTCTTCACTCAGAGTGGACATTATGTTAGTTTTTTATTTAATCAACCAATAACAAGAATACGATGCTTGTATTTTATAATATTCTAAAATTTACGAAAACCTTTCCTTTGGAAATATTTTAGCGACTTTTATTGAATATGCAATAATGAGCGTAAAAAAATCTTTTATCTTCTCTGTTTATTTGATTTGACATTTAGTTGTTCATTCGCATTTTCTACGCTGTGCATGTACAGGGTCCGCCATCTAACATTTTTTTTTTGAACTAGTGGTTATTTTGAGTGTGGTAACACTGATGTTACATCTGATTTGACAGAAAGTTTGTTTTATCTGGAAAATGGTTGTGTATACGATTGAGGAACGCGTTAAAATAGTGCAATTTTACTCGGAAAATGTGTGCGAAAATTACGCAAGGAAATGAGCCGTAACAAAGCACCATCCGTTCCGTATGTGCGCTTTCTTTTGAAAAAACTGAGAGAAACCGGCACAATTATTGATAAACCAACGCGTGAGAAACCAAAAAAAGTGCGTACTGCCGGTAATATCGCTGCTGTGGCCGAGAGCAATTGGTTCAAGAATTGAAGCCACGGGGCCATCCGATGCGGTTTGCCTTTGCCGAATGGGCATTTGTTTTATTGCATTTAAAAAAAAAATTACGTGGCGGACCCTGTATTTGTATCTATATCACAGGGTGGCTTTGAATAAAACAAATTATCTTTATTTAAATGGATTATATTCAAAATTTCTTAATATATTTTGCAATGATTTTGTGCCTCATTTAACTTGTATCATCTTGTTCACTTGTCTTGTGGAAAATGCTTGGCTCGGAGAATTGAAGTCGAAGTCGGGTGAGAAAGTGATCGGCTCTGACTACTGTGGTCGCCGTTTTTGAATTTTGAACTTCGAAGAGGACAGTGTTCCAACGAAGAGTACGGTTTGTAAATTGAATGTGTTCAGAAAGACATACTCTAATGACGGAAAGAGTTTCGAATTGTACAAAATTAAACAGTAAATGCAAAACTGACTTCGGAACAACTCTACTCCATTGGAAAGGCCAGTGGACAAACCCGGCTATACCTGCTGTCTTCCATTGGTGACAAAAAACGAAAGGAATAAATGCGCCGTTCATTGGTTTAAATTCGGCAATAATCGAGTGATTGGTATCTAACTCAGTAAAGAAGAAGGAGAAGAATGTAGTACTCAGCTCCTACTTCTCCGGAATTGACCACCACATACTCAACGGTTGTCATAATGACACATACCACTCCGCGGGTTAAGGGTTCAAGATTTTACCCCTGTAAAGCTTACTTGTCGTAAGAGGCGACTAAAATCCGGAGCGACCCGGATTTTTATCCGACCAAGGATTGTCACTGCCGCAACATTCCCCAAAAAGTACCTTGGGAAATATTTTTGCGGTTACAACAACAAAACACTAACGCCGTCTATGCACGTCCACTAAAACCAACTCTCTCCCTCTACCTTTGGTGCTTACCCCCCCCAAGGCAGTTCGTTTCCTAGCCCTCTCGCTAGGTGACCTCAACGACATCGACTAAGTTTGCCAACTTCTTGGCGGGGTTGAGCAAGCCAGTACAACAACAAGAGATAGGTTGCTCTCTGGTAATTCATGATCCATCCAACTGCAGTTGTTGCACTGCGTGTTGTACTGTGTCGAAAGACCATGAGCTGCATGGGTACTTAAAGCGTTTAGTGTTCCATGGTCTGCCTATTTAACCACCGTTAAACAAATACATTTAAAGTTTTGCTTAGAAACCGTTGGTAGAACTTTTTAAGTTAAAAACTACAACAAGAACAAACATGCTCTCAAAAGCCCAACATCTAAATTGTTGCTCCTTTATATGACCCTAATTTGATTCATGTTGTTACGCTTGTAGCGGCTATGTTAACACCGCTCAGGGACAGATTTAAAATCAATCTATGTTGTTGTTGTTGTAGCGGTTCACTAACCCCGCTTAAGCACAGGATTGATCAGTCTAAGTCGCCGAGGTCATCTAATGGTAGGTCCAGGAAACGAGCTGTTTCGACGGGGTTGAACCAAAGTTAGAGGGGGGCATGTGAAGAGGTGGTTAGTGTCGTGCGCAGACTCTCCACATGCAGGGTATGATGGGGTCTAGTCTGGATAGGTAGTAGTTTTACCTGCTACAGGACCTGAGTTGTGTCAGGGTCACGCGGGTCTCTCGAGGCAGCTCGAGATCGTTGTCTGCTATAGGTGGTGGTATTTCTCCGAGTACGCCATTCACTGGAAGGGAGTCCTTGAAGGTGTTGACTGACTCCTGGTGAATGGCGTTCAGTGCGGCGTTGTCGGTACGCCGTCCTGTCCAGCGGTTGTTGTACATGTTGCTGGATTGTGTCTTTTAGGTCTAGTACTCCCTTTCTGATGTGCCTACGTGGAGGTTCAGCTTCTATTAGGTGCCTACTGGGGTGCTCCCTGCGGTAACATCCCAATAGGAACTGCTTGCACAGCAAAGCATTATGCTCCTTAACTCGTAGCATAGATGCTTCCCTGTGCAAGTGATGCTCCGGCGACATCAGGAGGTTTCCTGTCGCGGTCCTGAGGGCGGTGTTCTGGCAAGCCTGTTATTTCTTCATCTGCGTCTCGTTCGTCTCACGTCAGCCGGTTCTACGCACCGGAGTTGACCCAGATTTTATCCGGCCAAGGGCTGTCGCCCTTTCGGCGACCTAGCCCCGTTTAGGTCAACAGGTAACTTCAGTCTAAAATCAATCGATCGGGAGGTCCAGGAAACGTACTCTTTCGACGGAATCGAACCAGAGGGATAGGAGGGCTAGATGCGCCGACTTAAGAGGGCATGTGAAGAGGTGGTTAGTATCATGTGGAGACTGTACACATGCTGGGCATACGTTAGGTATGTTGGGGTCGAGTCTGGATGGGTAGGAGTTTAACCAACTGCAATATTCAGAACTAAGATGTGCCAGTGTCACGCGGGTCCTTCGAGGCAGCTCGAGATCGTTGTCTGCGCGATAAGTGGTGGTTTATCTCCGAGTCTGTGAAGGTGTTGACTGACTACTGGTGAATGGCGTTCAGTGCTTGTCTGTAAGCCGTCCTGTCCAGCGGTTGTTGTACATATTACTGGGCTGTCTACTTAAATTCATAAACAAATTTGATAATTAATTTGTACTTTTGTGTATAACTTGCTTTATTATCATTATGTGGCAATAATACAAAAAATGTATACATTATTACACTTACAGCTTTTGCATTATGCTAAAGAATGCCTAAAATTTAAAAATATCGTACAACTAATTTAATTCCATGATGTTAAGTATCAGAAGGCCAACTGCATTTATGCACAATTATTATTATTATCATTTTTTTTTTACAAAATTCATTAGTTTTCTATTAACCTATGATAGTTACATATTTATTTTTATAAAATAGTACACCTTACATTTACTTTTATATTTATTTATGGAATTAAATTTATTTATTTGCAAAACATAATTAAAGACAATAAAAGTAGTCACACTATACACACTATATATATATATATATAGTCAAAATCATAAACCGTTTGCATGAAAATATATGTAAGTATGTATATAAGTAAGTACTCGTAAGTGCGACGTTAACATTAAATCTTACAATATGAACAAATTATGTATGTAACGCAATTGCAATGTAATAGTTATAAAAATTCTGTTATTTATAATTATCTGTTTGCTTAAATGGTGCAACGTGAGGTAGTTTCAGAAACTGAAATTTAGCTACATCAGTTATCACATGGTTATTATTTCTTTAAATTTGGCTTTTCATCCGAATGCCGCGCGCTTGAATTGAGAGAAATACAAGTTGACAAGTTAATTACCTCATTTACATATGAGTATAAGGAAATTAAATAAGGTATATATATAAGTAACGCTGTTATAAATATGTTAAACAATAACTGTAAATGTTTCAATCTCTTTATATTAACTGGCCGTTGATTTATACAGTGTGTATATTTGTGGTATTGTGATTGTGAGTTGTTTCAAGCAGTGAAACTTTTATAAGAACTACATGCATATAAAATATGAAATGGGTTGTATACTTAAACACAAGCTGAGCACACACTACATACAAATTTATGCGTAAGAACAAATAAAAACAAAATTAGCAGCATTAGAAGTTTAGTTTTACAAAATCATTTGCAAACTCAGGCATGAATTGGCTTAGTATTGTGTATGTATGCACACACGAGTACACATTTATGCATCTTGTTCGTTTTGTTTTTTTTTTTTTTTTTGTATATGTTTATGTTTGTTTTTATTTTCGTGATTGCTTTGTATTATTTTATTTATTGTTTTAATTTTTTTATGTAAATAAGTACTATACTGACGCAATAATGTTAACTTTAATCTGCACGAGCTTGAACGCAAATTCTTCAAAACGAATAACTAAATAATAAATTTACACTAAATTGGCATCCTTGGCCATGCTGTAGAATGCAGATTTTGGATTATCCAATAGTTCTGTGGGCGAGGCGAATTCAGTGATTTCACCCTTATCCAATACTACCACCTTATCGGAGTCCATAATTGTATTCAAACGGTGGGCAATCGTTAGTACAGTGCATTCTGTGAACTCCGACCGAATAGTTTTCTGTGTTGTGATGAACGAGAAGTTATTTTAGTATTTTCTAGATTTCATTTAAACAGTTCCCATTTATGTATATACCTGTATCAAATCATCAGTCTCCAAATCGACAGCAGCTGTGGCTTCATCTAACACCAAAACTTTCGTCTTACGCAGGAGAGCTCGCGCCAAACACACTAGCTGTCGCTGTCCTACCGATAAATTCTCACCGCCTTCATTGATCTCATGGTTCAGACCAGCTGGCAGTGTTTTAACGAATGACTTCAAGTGCGACAATTCCAATGCTTTCCACAGTTCATCGTCTGATTTCACTTCGAAAGGATCCAAATTGATACGTAATGTGCCGGAGAATAATACTGGATCTTGGGGTATGATTGTGAGTCGTGAGCGCAGCATATGCAGACCCAATGTGGCGATGTCTACACCGTCAATGAGAATGCGTCCTCCAGCTGCCTCGATGATTCTGCAAAATGGAAGGAAATATTTGGCATAAATACTTACTTTAGGTATCTTAACTAACAGTTCTTTTAAGGAATAATGAATATATATTCAATTACATATTTTCTTTGTGCCAAGTTCCAAAAATTTTGTTTTTAAGATATTCAGATCGAAATTTGATATATGAAATGAGTACTAAGTTAAAGATTCTCAGATTTTAGAGTATGTAAGCTCTGAAAATTTTATAAAAGATTTGAATGTTATGATTAAAAAAAATTATAGAAATTAACAGGCATGATTCTCTAGAAATGCTCTGCACATAAACATGGATGGAATTTTTTTTTTTTTACAAAAGTGTAGCTCAAAACATTGTTTTCTTTTTCTGTTTCAGCCGATTGTTTGACATAAACTCTAGCCTAATGGGTTAGCCATTGGTTCCTGTTGTGGACATCCCAAGATCGATGATCCAATGAGAATGTCCAACAGAACATTGATCTGAAATAGGCTAAACTCTCTCCATTCTCCTACTCACCTGAATAGAGACAGTGTTAAACTCGATTTGCCTGCACCTGTGCGACCCACAATACCGACTTTTTCACCACCAGCGATGCTAAAGCTGATGCCGCGCAATACCAAATCCAGACCCTCACGATAACGTACTTTGAAATTCTCAAAAACAACTTGACCTTGCATGGGCCAATCGCGTGGCACCTTGGAGTTTTCCAATTCCCATGGAGCTTCCTGTTTCGTCTCACCATACTCCTTAATACGCTCCACAGCAACAATATTCGTCTCAATATCCGAAGACATGCGCACCAACCAATTGAGTGTTTGCGTAACTTGCAGCGCATAACTTACGGATAGACCAACAAGACCGGGATTCGATTGACCACCCAAAACGGCGAAGAGTGCAGCGAAAAGTATAATTAGATTACCAACCATTTCCAGACGTACAGCGAGCCAACGATTCGCAATCAATGAAGGATATTTGCACACTTGATTCTTGTCGACACGATTATCGGATTCATCAATGAAACTGCAAGAGGAGGGGAGTATGATGATGAGTTAATACGATAGTAGTATGTAGAGTGTATTTCTACTCACCGATCTTGTACAGTGTAAGCGCGTATAGTCGTTACGCCGGTAATTGTTTCGCTGAAGTGCGTGTAAATTGGCGAACGTGAGACGGATTCCAAACGCATGAGTTGCCGTGAAGTCGCGACATAGAAACGTTGTGCGAAATAATACAAAAGCGCTATGGGCACAATGACAGCCAAGAAAATTGGCGTCGACATGCTAATAACGACAATAGTGGCCAAAACCTTTATTTTTTATTTTTTTAATTGTGTTTTGGAAGGTAAAAATTAAAAAAAAAAGGTTAATAACAGTTTTGAGAAAAGTTTTATAATTTCAAAAGAGAAGAATGTGTTGTAATTATGAAAAATGGTGTTAAAATGAACGAAATTATAGTGTTAAAAGAACTGCAGATACGTTTAAAGTAAATAATGCCATTACTTGATTCAAAAACTTCTGTATTGAAACGTATAAAAAGATTTTCGGGATTTTTCAGTACTTAAATATTAACGTTTTTTGCAAAGTAATAAAAAAAAGTTTAAGTAATAAAAAAAAAGTTTAAACTTAAAACGAAAATATAAAAAAAAATTAACCATTTGAGGAGGGGGAGCATGAAGTAGTAAATACAAGTATTTTGAATGTGGAATAAAAGGGATAAACAATACTTATTTCTTTTCTATTTGATACTAATGTAGCAATCTGAGCAAAATTTTAGTTTTATAGTAGTATGAAAATAAACAACTTTTACACACATTTAGGGGTGCGTTTTTGCAATATTTATAATTTGCGAAATTTTTTTACATTTTTTTTTTTTTACTTTTAAGTGGAAAATATGCTTTCGTAATTTAGTGTGCGATTAAACTGAAATTTAAGGCATGCTGGGGAGAATTTATAATACATTGGGTATCGGAAACGTGCAAATTATTTGTTTAATATGGAAATTTTTTTATTTAAAAATATTTAGTTTCGGGTAGGCATCTTTTTTTATGTTTAGCAGGCCACAAATTTCAGTGTATTTTAGAAGTTTAAATGTTTTTCTAGCTAAAATAAAAAGAATAGAAATGGTTTTCAATCCAATGCCATTATATTTATACCTTTCATGTACATAAAATGGCATATTAAATTCGGTTTTGAAGTATGCAATTACTGGAAGAAGAAGATGGTAGATCGTAAAAGTTTATATCGTACGCATCAGTTCGAGGTGTTAAGTTGACCAAACGTACGCTGTACGCAAACTAGTCTCTCCATATTTCAGATTTGAGATTTTGATTCAAAATATATGTAAAGAAGCATCTAAAAGCGTGGCGTGAAATTTGGCATTCTACGCAAGTACGAGTATGATGAATTCCCACTGCTGCTTAAAAAAAAAATATCGAAATCGGACAATTATAACATATTTATGTGTCTATATGTAGCTCACCTGCACCAATTTTAGAGATTTGTGGTAAAAAGAATACGCCGAAAAAAGCATTTACAAACTTGAGTTTTAGTTAATTTTATCACTGAAAATCATCGAAATCTCAGTACTATATTTTATAGCCCCTTCTTTAAAACCGATTTGTTCAGATGTGAGTTTTAGGGTAAGCAACATCTGTCAAAAGAGCATTTGAGAGCGTGGGAATCGAAAAACTTTATCATATGAGAATTAATAATTCATACCAAAGGGAAATACAAAAAATTTGTTAGGATCATGAAAGGTATAAAGTTTTCGGCATGGCCGAAGACAGCTCTACTTTTTTTTTTTCTTTTTTAACTTTTAGGCATGTCTGTACAAAAAGGAAAACAACTACAATTAATTTATTAGATAGTAGCATTCAATAGCACGTAGCGCAACTAATTATGCATGTAGTACGCTTTGTATGTATGTATGTGTGTATATGGGGAGGGTATTTCTGTTTGTAACTTTTTCCAATTTGTTAATTTTTTATAAAATTTTTTTTTTTTTTTGTCAGTACAAATTAAGCCAATACGAAACCTTGTAAACTAACTATATCAACTCATTTAATGTTTTTTTTTCTTTGTTTTTGTTTTTTTTTTTTAATATTTTAAGTAAGCATAAGCATATACGCATACCTGAAAACCACACCAAAGGCAATCATCAACTAATTGTGGCAGTTTTGTATCAAGAACATCAACATCTTTTGAAAATCTGGACAATATACGACCCAATGGTGTTGTATCAAAAAAGTTCAGTTCTACACGCATTATATTGTTCAATAACATCAAATGGATGACAGTTGCTGCTCTCAAAGCACCCAAGTATGGGGTACAAGTCATAACAAATGAGACTGCAGCTGCAAACAAGTTACAGGAAGGGAGGTAGTGTAGTTTTTTTTTTTTTTATGTTTACATTTTTTATTTTTTGGAAGCGTTTTCTTTTATTTCCTTAAGACATACATACAAATATGTATATGTGTATATATCTACAGTTTTGTTTACGTTCCTTTCTTTATACTATAGAGGAGCTTATGTATTTACTGTAACCGCTATGAAAAGTATCTTCTACTAAATACATAAAAAAAAAACAAGTTATATTTCAAAATACCGTCAATTTACCATAACAAGGCAGAGTACAAGAATGACAAAATATCAAATAACCTTAACGATTTTCGGATGCATTAGACTACACATATTAGTATGTACATACATACATACGTATTTATGGTGTGGTGAACACAGAGCATGTAGAGACTGTATTTATTATTATTATAATTATTATTATAATTTTTTTTTTTGCCTGGAGTTGAAAAGATTTTCACTCAAATTGCTACAAGTTTTTTTTTTTTGGCGAATGAACTAAACTTTTGATACCCAAAATGCTTAAAGCTAAATCCTATACAGATATTTTCCAACGCTTTTAATCAATTGTATTATATATACATACATTATGTATGTATGTATTTATAACGTGTTATATGTATACATGTATGTATGTACATATATGATGTTATTAACAGTTTATGAATTAACAAGTGATGATTTGTTAAATTTTTTTGTTTTTTGGAACGCCACAATGGCTGTGTTGTAGTATTTGTTATTGTTTTTCATACACATAAACATGTTTGCATTTCGTGTTTTTTTTCTTGTAGCCAACATACTCTAAACAATTTTGATATGGCACCCCGCAAATTTTGCGGTAATAAAACATCCATAACGAATATATCATTCGATAAACGATCAAGTATACGCCCCTTTGGTAGAACGTCAAAGCAGGTTTGCGGTGCACATACGATACGTTTGAAAAGTTTTATGAAAATATGTTTTGAACCCAATAATGCACCCAATTCAACGCCCATTGCAGCGCCAATATAAGTTACAACTGTTTCAATATACATTTGCATACATGCAGTTTTTGTTGTTGTTGTTGTTGTTATTGTTTTTGCGGACAAAGAAAATTTTAGTTAAAAAATTATATACGAGAGTTAGTCACATTTTTCAATTATACATACATATATACATACATATTTTTAAACGCCAATTGATAAGCGCAAAAACAAAACAAAAACAGTAATCGTGTTTTATGCTTGTTCTGATACTGTTAATTTTGCTTAGTACGAGTATATAGTATATATTAGAAATATATTTTCATTCATAAGTTAGGCACGAACAAAGGTAGTATGCTTTTTCTTTTTTAATACGAAACATCATACTGATGGCAGACATTTTTTGCAAATTATTTGAACACATAGAAAGGTTTCAATTAGTTGTGTACATAATAGTGTGGATAGGATTTTTCATTAAAAAAAAAAAACATAATCAACAATTCCCAAAAATTATTTAACGGTTAGTATGGTTATAATTAATAAAATATAAATATCAGTATTTTTAATATTCTTATATAAATGTATTTTACTTAAAATAAAGTGCATATTCCAGACAGTCTCGCCCTTTTATTTAGGCATTTTCATAATTTTTCTATGTTCAAGGGAGCGTTTTTAATATCACGAAATGCGTGCGTCGTGTTGGGTTGACTCATAATCATTATTATTTGCCAATTAATCCTTAAAATATCGTCAACCAAGCAATATAATCGTGAGTGAAAAGTCAGATATGGCGAAAAATCGGTGTTGTACCGTTATAAAGTTCCTTGCCAAGCAAGGAAAATCAGTTGCCACCATAATCAACGATATGCCATTGGGTTACAGTGACTCTTGCACGAGAAAAAAATATCACACAAGTGTCACAGTTTCTTTGGAGAAGGAAGGGAATCCCTTGAAAACGACATGAGATCGTGCACGAGCACCGAGATGGCTAAGCTAGTACTTGTCCGAAAATTTCGAAAATTTGTCTTCGACTAAAGAAGAAGCCACTCCTTGAAATGGCTGGAGTGCTCAACGAAATCAGTTTGCACGATGATCTTCTTTATATTTTCACCCCCAACCCTCCATGTCACGAGCATAAAATCGCTCCCTCGTATATACATATGTATGTAATAAATTTGTGCGTTGCTGTGTGAAATGCCTGTACATGTAAATATAATAAATATTTAAATAAAATCTCACTTTTAAAATTATGCACTAATATATGCACATACATACGCGCGTAAGCATTAAATTACATTTTATTGTTTTACTCAGTAATTTTCTGAACTTTTATATTCGGCTGTACTATGGTCACAGTGTGCATCAGGTTTTTCCAGCTAACGCTTGTATGGAAGGGCATAAAATAAACGAGACACATATGGACACACATATACATATGTATATGGAATGTCATGGAATGTCGAGACAAATCGATTGAGTTATGTCTGTCCATCCATTATCGTCGCCTGTCGTCTGTCTGTGTAAGCTCAAGTAAGCTCAAGTAAGGATTGAGATAATCTTGATGAACGAACGGCTGAATAAATGTTATTTTGAAAAGTAGCAAAAACGCGATACTTCAGTTACTAAATGTGTAATTAAAGTCATATTTGTGACGGACGATAGCATTAAATGGCGAAAATTTCAATTGGGCGCAGTACTTTTGGGTTTTATAGGTTTTATAGGTATATCGCAGAAATCCCAAACAGAGGCCAGAGTTTGGTAATATTTAATATTAGCAATTCAAATGGTCAATTAGAAAATTTAGTTTCATTTTTTGTTTAAATTAGTTTTCTATAACTTTTTGAATGTTAGTAGAACAACAGGACTTCAATCCGATAATTCCGAATGGCAGTACGCAATGCTAAACACTCGGCTAACGCGTCCGTTTTGGCTTAAGGGTCACACCTAGTGTGAAATTTCACAAAAATCGATCGATCGAAAAATAACATATTAAAATTTCAAATCGATATCTTAATTAGTTTTTGAGTTATAGCAATTTAAAGAGCAGTCGCTCGGCAACTAGAGAGTCTCATTAGCTACGAGTGAAAACGATCATTTTATCTTTAAACGCGTTTTTCTCGAAACAGCATTTTCCGAATTAGCTGCAGTGATTACTCGAAAACAAATGATCCGATCACTATCGAATTTTTTTTACATGTTCTATATATAGTTCTCCGTACAATGACCTATCGATTTTTGATCTGATCAAAAAATCGAATTTTGGCAGGCCAAAAACGACTAAAATTTTGGGTAAAATTCGACTATTTTTTTTAAAACGCCGCTATATTGTCAATTTTTGATTTGTTTTTTATCGTATAGATACATACAGAGGATTTTTTTTCATTTAGATTTCATCCACGGTTAAGGCGGAATCACTGCAGCAGTGAAGGACCTTTTTTCGCACAATTAAAATTCTAATCGCCGTTGGAGATCGACTATAACTTAAAAAATATTTAACTTTTTTCTTCAAAAATTTCACTGTATATTTTTGAAACATTTTTTTTTGAAATAATTGAAAAAGTATTTTTCTTATAAAAAATCCCAAAAACCACCTTTTTTTAGGCCATTACACTAGGTGTGCCCCTTAAATACGAATTTTTAAGGCAAAAATTAACAAAATTCAACCGAAATTGATGGCTATACTACTTTAAATTGGGACTAAATCCCTAACAAAACTGGCTGACATACATATGTAGGTCCAGAAATAGAACTACCTTACATATAACATAATTTTCGATCCATGGACTTTGGATCGTATATTTAAGGAATTCTTCGAGAAAACTTGAGCTTACTTGACGTATATGATAATAAAAATGTCAGTCTAACTTAGACTACATTACTTGTTTTAATTGAAATTTGTCTAGATTTTGTCTATATATGTTATTTTAATACTTTTATTTATGAGTATCATATTTCTTAAAGAATTTTTCTAATATTATTTGATAATTATTTTCGACGAAAAACGCTTCAGCGTTTACGAAATGCCTATTATGTATACATACATATACTTATATAAATAATATTTATATAAAGGTGAGCCAAAAATCGCATTTATGGGTTTAAATAAAACTATTTATTTATTGAGAAAACAATGTTTCTGCAAAGCTAATATTTTGTACTAAATTTCAGAGGTATCGCTGAGCATTCAAGGTTCCCCATATAAATTACAAATAAAAAAAAAATTCTTTTTCTTCATTAAAATTATTATAATATTTGAATTATTTCAGATAATTTAATTAACTTTGAGCATAATAAAAATAATTTTTAAATAAATTTAAGTGAACGCATTATTGAAACAAAAAATTAATTTCGATACAAATGCAAAATTATCTATTAATTAATTTTATTAGAATTAACCTTGACTTCAACAAAAAAACAAAAATTCACAAAAATAAATAAATTAAATATATATACATATATATATATATATATATATATATATATATATATATATATATATATATATATATATATAAATTTAAAAATTATAGGCCAAGTAAAAAATAGGTAAGTTTTAGAATCACCCTAATATATGTAAAAATTTAATAATTATAGGAGAAATCTTTGAGAAGTATAATTTATATTTTAGTGAAGTCATATTTTTAATTAAAATAAAATTATTTCGTATTAATGAAAATATTATTTCTTCAAAAATAAATTAACTCGAGTTAATAAAATAAAAAAAAATATATATATATATATTATTTATTACTAACACTAACATTCGGTGCATAATAATATCTAAGAACTTTTATAATGTAGGGAGTTGTCTTTCGGTCGTAATATTTACAAGTTTGGTAGGAAAGGAATTTTTTTTCGCCATAAAGGTTATGGTGGACAACAAAAAAATTATCGAAAAAAACTAACCTTAAAAAATATTTTTTTTAAGAAATTCTTAAAATGGAATAAATTAAAATATACATTTTCTTAAATATTATTGCCCTGTAGATAAAATTACAATAAAAACAAATTAAATCGCGCACGCAACAGCAATTAAAATGCCAATCGTTGTAAAACTTATAATGCCGCTCAATTGATACAAAACAAATTAAACACATCCATACATATGTAGGTACATGATCACATGTAAAAGCAATCAGCTCCTTAATGAGCTGAGGCAAACTTGGATTTTCTTAAAAAAAAAAATTCAGAAAATTATGCATAACTAAAATTCAAAACTCATTTCATGTAAACGAACATTTAAATAATTACATTTTGTATATTATGTATGTATGTAGCATTTATGTATATGTACCTGAAACATAGTCGACATAAATATACGCATATTGAGTGGCATTATCGTATCTAATATTTGCACATCGCTTGTACAACGATCTAGAATGCGCCCACTGGGCGTTATATCGAAAAATTCAGTTGGCAAATGCAAGAGATTACTGTAAAGTTGGTGGGAAATAGTTAAAGATGCGTGTATTGTGGCCATAGCAATAGCTGCAGATGCGCCATAACTGCAAAGAGCTACGAGTACATACATATATGGAAAATGAGATATGTATGCAAGTGTGTTGTTAAAAAAAAAAAAAACAAAAAAAAATTTGAATATTTTTTGAACTTTGCTTATAAAAAAAGGAAAGAAAAAAAAAGAAAAACATATTTTTTCTTAAAGAAATGATTGTTTGATAAAAAAAAAGCAATGAATTTTGGTGAACTATAAAAATTGGTGAATATCTTTGGAGATTATTTGTGTACGCCGTTTTTACAAACCTTACAGCTGCAATTTCGATTTTTTTTTTTTTTGCAAATCTTTGTGGAAAATTTTTAAGTAAAACTAAATTTTGCATAGATACCGTAAATACAATTGTGAGAAAACTATCCAGTGTGCCGGGCAATTCTTCATCGATAACTTCCATATCGCCGCTGAAGTGATTCAATAGACGTCCTAATGGCGTTATATCGAAGAACCGACAAACGGATGCACGCATTATTATTTTCAGCAGATCATTATGTAGCGACGTGGCTGCCCTGAGTGTGCCTACATAGACGATGACGACGGCGAAATAGGCAAGCAAGCCTGCCAGCGCAGCACACACACGCACAAAGCAGGGAAACGGTTACGATTTTGGCGAAAATAAATGTAGTAAAAAATATATTTAACTAAACATTTTTTTTTTCTCTGAATAATTTTTGAAAATAAATAAATTATCTTACTGCTGCCATTCGTTTTTACCACTTGGTGGAATAATGATGGGAACCACAGATCGCAAGGCCATAATGGGAATTGCATTTGCATGAAATGGTTAATAGAATGTCACGGTAAGATCACCAGTTGTTGAATGCTTGCTTTGTGCTCTTTTATTGCGATTATTCATTAGAATTTAATGTTGCATATGGAAGTTTAATTCTCGTATATGAATGGAGGCGTAAAGAGAAACATGGCAGACTATTGTATTCTGATTTAGTGATGAATTTTTATTTTATATTCGTTGCACGCCACAACCGAAATTTTTCGCGTTTAGAGAGAGTGAAATAGAAATATTGATAAGACGAATTGTAGGGATGTAATTTTGCTAATTATGCTATTAAGAAATGAAAATGGGGTTTAAAGGAGAAGTTGGTGGTAAGAGAGAGAGAGAGAGAGACAGAGAGAGAGAGAGAGAGAGACAGAGAGAGAGAGAGAGACAGAGAGAGAGAGAGAGAGACAGAGAGAGGGAGCATGTTTGCGTAATAAGAAAATTAAATAAATGACATATGAAATAAATTAAAATAATTAAAATTTTAATGTATTATAAAATAATTCGTAAAATTATATATGTATAGAAACTAATGTAAAAAATAAAAGTTACCCTAAAATATATACTAAATTTAAAAAATATAACTACTCTCATTGAAAAATATATATTTGTATTTATGAAAGCAAAATACGTAGTTTAAAATGCAGATAAAAATCTTCAAAAATCAAGTAGTTACTTAACAACTAAATGCTTTCAAATTAATCGATTTACAATGTGCAAATGTATTCAAAAGCGCGGTCTTTTTCTTCCTTTTTCGCATGTTACTCAAACCATTAAAAATGGCTATAAAACAATTTTCAACACTTTCATTTTTCATTGCATATTTAAACTACTTATATACGAGTATAAATAAGCGCTACTAAAGCAAATTTGAATGCTTAACAGAGTTAATTAAATTAGAAATATTTGTTGTTAATTGAAGTTTGTTTTCACAATACTTCATCGCAAAAATAGCAAATCAGCATGCAAAGCAAGCTAAAAAAAAGGTAATAATAAGAAATAAAATTATTAAAAAATTAAAATCTGTGAAATAAAAAGTGTACGAGATTTAAGAAAATATTATTTCTTGAAACCATACATGCTTAAGTTGTGCATTTTTATGGAATTTAAATCAAGTAATGGCGTCGGAGGATTTTAGAAATGTCAATAACTTGAGCGTTCTAACTTTTTGTTTAAGAAACTGCACGTGTTAAAGAACACTATTGATTTTTAATATTTATTTTTAATTTTTTTTTTTAAATTTTTTTTTTGACACTGTTATACAAAGTTGTAAAGCAGCAGTGTAAACGAATTTAGGGAACTGTGTAAAAGCTGTAATTAATGCGATATAAAGCAGACATGAAGTGAGCTTTCAAGAGCTTTTAGTTTTTTTTTTTTTTTTTTTTTTTTTTTTTTTTTTTAAATTATTAAAATAGGTTACATGGGTTTTACAGCTTTTGAAAAAACAAACTTTTCTATAACCTTAATAATTTCCTAAAACATCTCGAGAATATTATACTAAATTTTCAAGAAGTCGATTCGAATAAAAGTGTCTGAGAAACAATCTTGGAAAGGTGTGCACTCAAAGGCAGGTAGGCTTAGCGCTTTAAATTTTAAAGGCATTTTGCTTGAAGCTCTGTTTTTGAAGTTGAACCGAACCGTTGAAGTTCAACCGATTTTGGTGAAAATTTACGCAGGTCTTCGAGGTACTTATTCACGAGGAATTGCATGAAGAATTATTATTATTATTATTTTTTAAAGCAACCTTAAAAAAAATATTATTATTTATATTTATTATATTATCAGTATTTATATATCATTTATATATGTTCATTCCTTCAAATTCTCGTTTATAATATTAACTAAAATTTAATTTTCGTTTTTTTTTCTCACTTCGGTTGATTCTGCCATGTGTTCTAGTGTCGTAACTTTTTTACGTGGAATGGATCACCAGATAAGCTTAGAAACTCTTTTTCCAATGTTTATTAAAAGTGTATCTTTTTTTGCAGAGTAAACCCATGTAACCCCTGTAGTAACTATTTACAATAATCCCTCATTATTTCTATTTTTATTTATTTATTTTTTTCAATTTCTTTACACTTGCTGTTTCTTACACAAAAAAATTAGTCACAATTTATGGTTTTATTTTAAGTTAGTCGTTTTTGTGAAAATAATGAATCAATGAATGAGCACGCCAGGTGCATGATGAATTAGATTTTAATTTTCAACCGTAAAACCTTTCCTAAAATGATGTAGGGCCTCCTTTTTGTTTTAAATCTATTACAATTCGCATGCAATAATTGTTGTAAAAAATTAGGTAAGTCCAAAGCACAATATGATGTTTGGTTAGGAGTTGCTGATATTTTTTGAAGCATTTTTAAGTACAACAAAATACATTTAGTTTTTGTGATAAAAAACAAAAAATGCGCAACATAAAAAATGGGTTTCTAAGCTATGTAATACTATATATACATATTATATATATATGCACTTTGATTGGATTTGTATTTTTTGTTTGTTTTTACCGCAAAGAATGTTGATAGAAATTGTTGTACCACGGCCGGCAGGATGGTATCGCATGTATCGATATCTTTCGAAAAGCGACTAAGTATACGACCTAACGGCGTTGTGTCGAATAGTTCAGTTGGCCAACGCATAACGCCCTTAAGCAGTTTGTTAAATACTTCCAAGGAGCAATTGAGGCAACCAAATGCCAGGAACAGTCCAGATAAATAGCGCGCTATGACTAAGCGGATGTAAATTCACCGATTTCAGTATTTATTTATTTTTTTTTTTTTTGTTTAGTGTTTTGGGCATTCGATTTTGAATATGAGTATAAATTTATGGAAGAAAATGTGAGTTATAAAATGCATGAGTTTAAAAATTTTTACAATATATATTATAATTTTTTACGATTTTTTTTTTATGTAAATATTAGTTGAATATTTTTTATGCATGCAAATATTAATTATATGGAAAAAATCTTAATTTAAAAATTAATTAAAATTTACAAGAAATTGGCATGCAATTAATCGATTGATTACATAAAAAAAATTAATAAATAAATAAATTTAATCAACTGAAATTTGTGTTAAATGCGCTTTATTAGTAAAAACGGCTAACGAGTGAAAGGATTTTTTTTACAATAAAATTGAGGATTTGAAGAACTACAAGTGCTCGCGAAATTTCTTACAAGTGAACTATTAAAGTTTAAAAAAAATGTGTTTTTCTTAAGACCAGCATTTCACTAAAAAAAAACTAACTAAAAAAACTAACAAATCAAAGCAGCGCTGATGACGAAAACAAGTTTATTTAGAAAGTAGTTTATAAAATACCAGCAGAAAAAAGATTAAAAAAAAACAGAAAATTACTATAGTACATAATTGAAAACTAGCAAGTGATAAAACTTGTTGCATTGGCTTTGATGGGGCAGTAAATATTACTCAGTCTCTATAATTTGTACCATAGAATGGAAAATTCAGCCTCACATGCTTGGTTTTGAGTTAACACGTCCAAATTGCGCTACACACACTTCGCCACGTTCTGTGATCGACATTCAGCAAATAACTTGTTTCGCTCAATATTGTTGAAAATAAAATTATAATTATTATTATATTTAATCTCTACGACTAAATCACTGCAAATACCATTTGAAATATGAAAAGTTCACGGCGCTTTAGTATTCCAATTTGTGTATGTCGTTATTTGTGCTTTTTGATTTGTATGATTTAGGTTTATGAGTGTGTGTGTGTTTTTTGTGCAGGGGAAATATTGTGGAAAAGTTGATTTATTACCGAGAAAAACTGGCTTATTACAGCACGCCATAATTGCGGCAAAGTAAAGTCAACCGAATCAATATCTTTCGAAAAGCGATTAACTATCCTACCCAAAGGTGTGGTATCGAAAATATCCATGGGCCAACGTAGGACGCGTGATAATAATATTTCGTGAAGTTCCTTAGCACAATATATACAGCCAATTGCTAATGTGACTGAACAGGTTGCTTGGCTAATAACTGCAAGGATTGTTAATGTGTTCTTGTGTTTTTTAATGTTTGTTATAAATAATTGGTTTATTGTGCAAAAGTAAAAAGTGTAGTAAATTTATCAATTTATTTAAATTAAAAAAATTTAAAAAAAATATAAATAAATATCATAAATAAAATCAAGAAAATATAAGAAGTAATGTTTAAAAAATTGAATTATAAACAAATACTAAAAACAAGTCGTTAAAAAACAAGTAACAAATTATATTTACAAATGTGTAATGAATTAAAAGGATCACTAATTAATTATAATTAATAATTTTGTAACATTTCCATTATTAAATATTAGTAGCCAATTATAGCAGCGCCTGATTTTCGTAAAAAAAAAAATTTCTACGCGTTTTTTTCTTGCACGAAAACAACTATAGAAGAGTCTTGTACGAGACGCTTAAAATTTTGAATTCTCAGAAGATTTTTGAAAATCTTGAAAGCCAAAGTACTTATATTTTAAGAACGAGCGTAGAAGTGTAGAGCCAAATAATGCAAAACACAAAGAACAGAGGTGTACATAGTTGCGGTAATGCACGATGAGCTACTCAATTATTTTTTTTTTTTTCGAATTTTCCAATGCATTTTCTTAACAAGAAAACGAAAATTTATATTGCCTAATGAGACATTTTTTATAAAATATTATATAAAAGATTATTTTTCCAATGTGAACAATGTAGTATTCATATTAAAAAAAAAATATAATAAATAAATGAATAAAAGTAAAAAATTTATCGGCCGTATGACAGTTGGATGGTTGGTTTTTGCGTCATAATATGTTTTATGAGTATGATTTTCAGCGCGTTTAGTTTATTCGATTTAAATATGTGTACGTATGTTATTTATATTACCGAGAAAAACTGGCCTATAACGGCACGCCACAATTGCGGCAATGTAAAGTCAACCGCATCAATATCTTTCGAAAAGCGATTAACTATTCTACCCAAAGGTGTGGTATCGAAAATATCCATGGGCCAACGTAGTACGCTTGATAATAGTATTTCGTGAAGTTCCTTAGCACAATATATACAGCCAATGGCTAATGTGACTGAACAGCTTGCTTGGCTAATAACTGCAAGGATTGTTAGTGTTGTGGTTTGTTTGTGTTTTAATGTGTATGTTTAAAATAATGGTTAGTTTTGGAAAGCTTAAAAAAGCAACAATAAAAAATTTGAGAAAAAAATTAAAATATGCTAAAAACAAATGCTTACAAAGCGACCATATTTTTTTTTAAATTTTGTCAAAACGCAAAAATGAGTATGTATGTTTATAAGCGAATTTCTAAATTAAATATATAAAATTCTTTATGTGAAAATATTCTTATATTTTTAGCTGCCTTTAATGGGCGTAAACATTCAAGGAGTAAAGCACTTAACTACATGTGAATAAGTTGAAGTAAAAAATTTTAAGCGTGTGTAAAATGAACTTATCGTGAGGGAGTGTAAATTTTGTATCTGGGACTGTAGCAGGTATCAAGCAAGTAATAAATTAACATTGAGACTGTTATGCGATGCAATACTTTGTAATGAAATTTTCGATATCGTAGTGGATGAATTGTCGTTTTGCATTAATTTTGTTTAAGTCAAATATGTGTCAGAGTATTCTTAAATTTATTTAGAAATTTCAATTCAATATTAATAATTAGTTTTTGTGCTGTGAGACATATAAAATGTGCATTAAATGATTTACATAGGAATTTTAATTTACTACTATTTTCTTGTTGTCTTTTTTTGGCTTTAAAAAAAACTGTTTCTTTTGCAATACAATTAGGCTCTTGAGTTTGAAGAACTTTCCATTTTTAATTCCAAATTTTTTTCAACTAAAACTTGTACAAAATATATTTTATGCTTAACTCTTATTATGCCTTTAACAAAATTTTTCAAATAAAACAAAAAATAAATTGTGTCGTGGCAAAATTTTTAAATCATTTTAAATTAACTCAATGAGCACATATTGATTAAACTTGAAAACCAAATTTACCATAAATAATTGTGTGACAACTAGACTACAATTTATAGACAAAATCTTATTAACTGTGTCTACAACTTTCGAGTCTCGAATCATAATTCTGCCAAGCGTTATAATGTCGAAAAATTCCATTGGTAAACGAAAAGCGTTAGAGGTATCGAATGATCATGCAATGTAATCGATGAATAAATACAACCCACCGATATAGTCAATACGTATAAGTAGCTGAGAATTACTGTAGTGGTTCCAATATTTGGTAACGGACCACAAACAATACAGACGCTTGTTAAGTATTAGCTAAGCGTATAAGTTTAACGTTGCATATATTATTATGTCGAGCAGAAATTGTTTATAGCAGCATTTATTGATAAAGCATTAAATGTATAAGAACGTGCACTCGTGATGGACATGATTGCTGCTTCAAGCTACTTTTTTCTTTAATGATGATGAGCAAATATAACAACAATAAGGAGTATTTCCCTTTCACACATTTTTCTTAACTTGATATATGTATGTACTTAACTAACATTTCACAAACAAAATAGAGTGAATTAATAAAATTATAAAAAAAAGCAAATTAGGCAAAATTATGAATTTTTCATTCAATCCCTCCTCCTGCTGGAGAAGAACAATACAATTATATAATATTAAAGCAGTAATTTATGTTTTGAGTTTCGGGTTAATTTGGTATAAATGTTCAATGCAGGAAACGTTTGCATAATTAAAAAAAAAACCTAATATAAACAATTGATGTATATGAAATGGAAATGTATGTGTGCTATATGTATGTTTGAAGCACGAAGCTTTGGCTGTAAGTGGATATTTCATTTATACATTTTTTTTTCTACTTTATTTCGATCAGTTTAGTATTGAAATATAATGAATATAGTATTTTTTTTTCTTGAATCATATATCATTATATCAACTTACAACCGAAAGCTGCGTTTTTCATTAATGAATTAATTACCGAATAACCTGTCGTCATGACAGAACGCCAATTTTGTGGTAATATATTATCAACAGAATCGATATCTTTTGCGAAACGATTAACAACTCTTCCCAATGGTGTTGTGTCGAATAATTCCATAGGCCAACGAATAACACTATATAAAAGTCTTGTATGTATTGCCTGTGAGCAATAAAGGCAACCGATGGAAACCGCTAATGTTGCAAGATAGCTCGAAAGCACTGTTTTATTATGATTGAAAATATTGTGTTTAGTTTTAATATTTAACAGTGATTTTTTGTTTTGTTTTGTTTTGTTAAAGAATGTTCCCTAAACTCCATACACCGTATTTTTATTTTTATTTGTATGTACAATATTAGTGCCATTTCAAGATCAAACTTAAGTGCATTATTATAATTAAGCATTGCTCTTGTGAGCATAGTGTACTTATATACGTGTGTGTGTTTTGTGTTTTACTAACATGCAGCTGTACTGGTTAAACTGTACTTTATTTACAGTAGTGTTGAAAAGCAAATAGATCTGAGTATTGAGAAACTAACCTAGTAAGGAAATGTGTGTTCTTTAACAAAATTTTTGCATAATCCAGCAGAAGCAAAGGACTAAATTTACGCGTTAAATTGGAGAAGAATAGAAAATCACGACTAGTGCGCAAAGTAGCAAAGACAAGTTGTTAGTGCGGCGAAAAAAAACCACCCAAAAAGTACTAGCAATATAAATATAAAACCAAAAATTCATTCGAAATAAAAAAAAAATTATAACAAAATAAAAGCATAACTAAACAATACAATAATTAGTTTTAACGAACACATAAAAATGAATAGAATATTAATTTAAACTAAAGTTTCAAATGAGTTTTATGTATGTAAATAACTAAAACGAAAAAAAAATCAATATGTACTGAAAAGTAAAGTAAGCTCAATGAAACGCCAGGCAGACATACAAATAAATATAAATACAAAGGAAGCATAAAAACACTAGACAACAACTTTAAAAATTAAAAAGAAAATTGTACAAATTTACATTAACTTATAATTACGATTAAAGAACATGTGCGCTTACCTTGTCCGAAACCGAAGGCACCATAAACACCCAAATACATATCACGCAGACTAGTGTCATTCTCAACAGCTTTGTCATTCGACCATCGAGTCAACCACAAGTTGGAACCGATTGAAAATGATTGATAAACAAAGTTCAAAAATAGTGTAGCAAGTGAGAGGAAAACACCAACACTCTTGATATAATGCTTGTAAACGGCTAGTTGCACCTGTTTGCGTAATAGAAAAATGGCATAATATATTATTTATGTAGGTAAATTATAAACAAATATATCAATTTTGTTAATTTTATAAAAAAAAAAAATATAATACTCACGCCACCAGTTTCAGATTTCTCAGTTTCAATTAGTTTACCCTCGTCTACGTCAGTCTTTTTCTGTGATACTTGTGAAATTGCTGAGATTTCAGAATCTTGTCGACCCATTTTGCGTCGACGCAAACTGCCTTTACTGCTGTCAAACGATTTTACAGAGCTGCACAGAAGAAAAATTATAAAATTATATAAAATTTATAGTAATTAATTGATTAAATAACAATAATAATTGTACTAACACAGAGTCTGACAAACTTTCCGTGCGCGCTAAAGATATGACTTTTTCGAATGTGCCCAATAGCTCTTCTGATTTAACTGTGACCTCGAGCTGCTGTTTAATCTCATCTAAATCCTCAACTTCTTCTGTAGACTCTTGCAAATGTTGTATAATGAATTCGGCGAAAGCACCTTTACGCGCCAACAGCTCCTGATAAGTACCACTTTCGCTAATCTCACCCAATTTCATAACATATATATTATTCGTTTGCGGCAAGAATGTTATGCCATGCGTAACCAAGACACGCGTCTTCCTCGCCAGCAGACCATTCGGTCCAATTACTTCCTCGAAAATATGTTTACCCACATGTGAATCAACAGCACTCAAGGGATCATCAAGTAGATATAAATCGGCATTACTGTAAACAGCACGCGCCAGAGAAACACGCTGTTTCTGACCACCAGACAAATTAATACCTTTTTCGCCAATCTCCGTTTGATCGCCCGCCGACAACATATCAATATCAGCGCGCAGAGCACAAGCATCGACGACACGATTATAACGTTTACGATCATATTCCAAACCAAAGAGAATGTTATCGCGCAAGGTGGCATTTTGTATCCAAGCTTGCTGCGGCACATAAGCAATAGAGCCGACAGTATTGACACGACCCGATAACTTGTCCATCTCGCCAAGTAGTGCCTGGATGAGTGAGGACTTACCGGAGCCAACAGTGCCTACAACAGCACATAGCGTACCTTTCTTCACAGTCATATCGATATTTTTCAAAGTTTCATCGCCCTCACCCCAAGAGAAGACGCCCTTTCTGATTACCAAAGGATCGGCTAAAAGTGTTAAAGTCGGTGTGATATTAAAATTTCTATTAAATATATACTAATTTCACTTACCCTCCTTGGGATCATGTTGTACACTGTCTGGATCCAATTCCTCGCTATTCAAGAACTTGTTTATACGTTTCACAGAAACTTGAGTCTGTGATTTATTTTTAGGTTATATTGAGGTAAATGAAAAACATTATTAGATTGTATGTTTTAAATGTTTTTTTGTTTTGTTTTACAGATAAAATGCAAACGTGAACGAGCAGTTAGTAAATACAAGCGAATAAAGGAAAATTAGTTTCTTTTTTAAATTAAATACTGTAAATACTGTAAGCCAAAACCATGGAGTAAAATAATATTTATTGAACGGCAAATCATTTCATGACTGATTGCTTCAAGGCAAATATGGAAAGTCTAAATTTTGAAAATGAAGTGTTAAAGCGCAGAATAGTGCAATTATTTGGGAAATTCTTTACTTTATTAATATTTTAGGAATAATTTAGGAACATTTCACAAATTTCGACTATTCATACAAGTTTTTATTATTGCAATTTACTTTTTTATTATAAAGACATTATTTGACAAAAGCGCAAATATTTACGTGCCTGCAAACAAGAAATGAAATATTTTTGCCCACATACATAAGTATGTATGTGCATGCAAAATATCTATACATATCTTTTATCTTTTTACAAAACACTTTATACAATTTGATTACCAACGAGAACAACAACAAGACATGTAATAACACAAATATTAAAAATTAGGCCGACTTACTTGTACCATGTTGGTTATCAACATGGGCAACATTATTAATGGAAAACGCAAAATGTTGAATAATGATAATGAAACGAATATTTTAGTTGCATCGAGAACATTGTTTTCATCAATTAAAACATATGTAGCAAATGTGACCAATGACACCTAGAAGTAATAGAAATTGTTGACAATAAGAAAATCGGTTCTTGTTTTGATGATGAAAGCGTGCAAAATGAAATAGTTGGTCATTCCATTAATGAAATATAAAGAAGATTTATGTATGTATTTAATGTCCTTTAAGCTCATAATGATTCTTTTCTAGTTTGTAATTCTTCTTATGAGTCGTGCTGCTAGTATTGCTTAGAGATGTTGGAAAATTTTGTAGTTTTTATAGAGATGGTACGCCTTTGCAATGGTTTAGAAAACGTTGATAAAGATTTTTTTACTCCGTCGTATATGGCAATTAATGAGTGCTTTTGAAATATCCACTTTTTCCAATGTTTTCAATGACATTTTGCCACCTAATTGTACCAATTTAATTGTTTACCTCGGCTATATCGATTGCTAACATAGGCAGTGTGGCCAATGGTAGCTTCATTGTGTCAAACAGCGCTAAGCTAACGAATACTTTGCTAACCGTAAGTTGATTGTCATTACTCGATAAAACGTATGAGGCAAAAGTCACTAATGAAACCTTTTAAATACAATTGGAATTTAGTTTTATTTTGAGTATCCATATTTGTTTTGTTTTAACCTGAGGTTGGCGCTGAAAATAGAAAAAACGTATGTTTTTTTAAGTGTAATGCAACTCACCAGAAACGGCGCACATGACCACAGGAAGGAAGTACCTGCGTTCAAATACGCAGATGCCTTCAAAGTCGCGATTTCCTTTTCACGAATTTGCAACACTTGGTTTTCGAAACTTGGCTCCCAGGCGTATAATTTAAGAACCTATAGATGAAATAAGTTAATTTGTGTTACTTAAAAGATTTCTAAAACTTAATACAAAAAATTCAAAAATCCAAAAACATCATAATTTTGTGTTGCTTTATCAATTTGACCTTGACGCTTGACGCTTACCTTTATGCCACCCAAAACTTCGTTCATCAGTTTAACACGTTCATCCTTATACTTCATTTGCCTGATTTGATAAACTTTAATACGGTTCGCAATAACACCATTGATAGGAATCAAAATGATCATTACAGCCAAACCGGCCAGCACAGATGGACCCAGTTGCAGCCACAAAAAGTACATAGCCAAAGCAATTTGTAACGGTGCTGACCAAATCATATTCAAATATGTAGTCAAATCCATAAAACGTTGTGCATCTACAGCCATCAAATTAACAATTTCGCCAACTGTCGATTCTTTACGTGTCGCATTGGAAATAACTAAAGCTTTCCGGTAGATAGCATTTATAAGCGCAGTACGTATACGTAGACCAACAACGAACATACGATGGAAATATTGCCCCAATATAAAGGTTTGTGCAGCAGCTGTGACAAAAAGTAATATAGCGTATAAAATACCCTTCCATTCCGGCTGATTTTCAACGCTATCCTCAGAGTAATCTTGTACGAAGCTTATGATCAAACTTAGCACTTGTGGCTGCGCGAATGTCAGTACATCGCAAATAAATTTCATGAGTGCGCCGAGCAAGAAAACACCACCAAATGATTTAATAATTGGTGGCATGATTGAGGTAACCTTTTTCTTACCACCAGAACGTCCGTGAGGATTCTCAAATTCAACTTTACCGTTGCTATATTGTGCTTTCGGTTGTGGTGGTGTTTGACTTTTATAGTTTTTGCGAACGCTTTTATTCCAGTAGTGTGCAAAAATTGGCATAACTTCTTTACAGCTATCTTGTGGACGCAAATCCCAAAGATCTTTATCTTCCAATGGATTACGGTAACCTTTCCATGCCATAGAGTCGAACCATTGATATGTAATACGAGAGAGAAAACTAGCAGAGCTCTCAGGTATTTCATTCTGCAAAAACGTTATTGTATAAGAACAGAATCACAAACAAAGAATAAAATTTACTTACATTAGTACGTTTATATTTTGTTTCCCTTGGCATGGCATCGGCGAAACAGTTCAGCAAAAGCATTGCGCATGAAAAAGCGAAGTAGATCATGTAACTCACATAATTATATTCATCCCATGAATAATCGGGTTTGTCATCCACATTGGAATTTAATACATTATTCCGCTCATTTTTGGCTCGTACTTCGGTGCGACACTGTGGTATTGAAAATATCACCAACAGGAACCAGAAAAGAAATTGTGTACCCGAAGTCTGCACACCATATTTGCGATTTAAAGGTATAAAAATGAACACTAATAGCTATAAAATTAAGAAAAATGTGTCACACAAAGAATCGACTTTAAAATTGTATTTACTTACAAAAGTGACAAATTTTATAACAGGACACCAAATATCAACTGCATTGATTAAAGCCGTAGTTGACTCGTCACCGTTTTTCACCAAAGCCATTATAAAATCAGTAGCCGAAAGTATAAGTAAAGCACCCATAATCACTAATTTGCTTATGTTTAATTTATTCCATGGTATATTTTTATCTAAGCTTGCTTTTAGGTAGTAAAAATCAAATATACAGAACACCCATAGAAACGCGCATGGACCCCACACAAGCACAGTCTTTTCGAAGCACTTTGTAAAATCTGGATCACTAGTCCACCACGTCTCATTTGAATCCTGTTTTTTGTTTAATTAGAATATTACAAAACATGATGACCTTCATTATAAATTTTAGTTCAATTCATTACTAAGACTTACCCAAAATTTTGAGCCACAAAACTTATCCAAAGGATGAGAGTTATTATCTGTCATGATGATGATAAAGTTGGCTCAACGAACCGCTCCAATTTTCGTCGGATTTTAATATTAAAATTACTTATTATTCAGATAATTAGAAGATTATTAAAGTAAACCGCAGAAAGTTATCTGCGAAAAATGTCACTGTCGTTTCGCACGAATTTTTGGCTGCTAACCTGAAATTGGAAAATTTCAAACAGCTGTTGAATAGGGAACTTCAAATGTTTAAATATATTAAATATTTTTGCTTATATACTTTGAATTTTAAAGAAAACCGATATTTCTTCTAAATAATAATAATTATTAATTATAATTAATCAATTTTACGGAAACAAATCAAGAGGTCGGGCATGGTTTGATTTCGAGTACAGTTATCCGTTTCAAACTTAATCAACAAAAACCGTACACCTGAGTCACCCGCTTAGTCTACAATTCTTCTCTACCCAAGCATTTAAAGCGAACAAAGCTTTTTGCTGTCAAAATATGTATGTCATTGTGTTATTGTGCGATTTGTTTATCAGTAATTTTTGTTCGATTGGCACAATTTATAAAGAATTTTCTGGTTTCTCAGCAAATATTTAATTAAAAATGGCGCGTTCAACAAACTTTTTAGATGCGGATGGAAGTTTAATGGAAAAAAATCTGAAATTTGTGAAGGTATGTATGAACGTTAGACAACAAAAGCAACAAATCATTGCTATTCAGTACATTTTTTTTCGCAAATTTCCTCTACAGAATGAAATAGAAGACGAGCTAAATCAATTCTTCTCCGGTGCACAAACCGCTGGTGTAACAAACGAGTCGCTGGCGCCTCCACGTGAATATAAAATTGTACAACCAAAATCAGGTAATTAACTTTGGATAGAAAGCATAATCGTTCAGACATATTATACATTTGAATGTATGAATGTGCTTGTAGTGTTTTTAGTTAAGTTATGCGTTTTTGGGTGATAAATTCCGATTTAATACTGGCTCGTGAATATGTATGAAACTAGTGCTATTTTCTTTCTCTTATTGCTACATGAATTATGTCTGATAAACGACATCTCTTCTCTCCAAGTAAATTCAAACTAGAATTGTATTAACACTGTAAGCGTTAATTAAACGTTGCGCTTCACTGAAATTGTCGGTTGCTCAATGATAAGCTATTTGTACAAAGCAATTAGGAACGCCTAATGTATCGCTGATTGGCACAATGCTTTTCAATTAATTGTAATTGAAATTGAAATCGAGTAGAATATGAACAAATCGGTTTTGGCGTAAGAGAAATGCAAAACTATTCGGAGCATACATTAATATATTTTACTCATTTTGAGACTTATACACAGTTATTTGTATAAGCAGATGTATTGTATTGTGAGATTTTAAGATATTATTTTGCAGTAATTCCATCGCAGTTAATGGCGATACAATAAAATTTCTGCCATAGTTACTTAAAATTCATGCGGTTTTTATTGTCAAAAATCGCATGCATATACTACTTCATTATTGTTTCATAACACATGTACCTATGACGTCATATAAAATATTTTTGCAACTTTTATTTAAAATTCGAATTGCTTTTTATTCAAATGAGTGGCAATACACACTCTCTTTCACTTTAGGCAAAAAGGTAAAGGTTTTTTTTTTTGCCGCTAGCTTAACAGGTTTCTTAAATAATAATAAGAGACAAGAAATTAAAAAGATATGCATATGCAGATTAAGTTTAACTTTTAGTTTTAGACTTGTTTATTGAAATGAGGATTTGCTACATTTGAAAGCGAAAGAATCTTAGTTTTTAAAATGCATACATATGTACAAAAATACATTCATATTCATGGATATACACAAATATGTTGTACAGTATTCACTGCTCTTCAAGTAGTATTCTATATGTGGGTAAATTACCAAAAGGGAAAAATACTAAAGTATTTTTTATACCATCTAAATGTACATACATATGTATGTATTTCTGTATATTAATAACTGTACGGAACTCATGTACATTTATATCACCAACACGAATTCACTTATCTAAAATACTTCATACGCCGATTTGAAGAGCTACTATTAACGAGTTTATTATTTGACATCTCTCCTATCGATTTGATAAGATGAATTGTGCAATTTGCCATTTTAGCTACATTAATTGGATATATAAAAAAAGATCATATTATATTATATAATGTGAATACTGAATAGCTGTCGATCATTTGCATATACACCTATGAATGTGAGTTCACACACATTCAATGTCCTACAGTTCAACATTAATTGACATCAAGAAATTGGTAAAATTATGCATAACTCAATTATTATCAATTGTATAAAAAAAAACTGAAATTTTCACAAAGAGATAATGGTGCCATAACTAATACTCTAAAAAATGAAAGAAGAACAGACTGCATCATCTCTTATTCGTTTTAGCTTTAAAAACACTATGCAAATGAGAAATATTTAAAAAAAAAAATTACAATTTCATGGGTAAAATTAAATGTGCTAGAAAGTCCTTAATTTTTACCGAAAGGAAACTACAATATTTTGGCAGCAAATGGCCGTTTTTCAATAAGAAGTCTCAGCAAAAATATTTTCCCTATGTAAATGTATGTAAACGCAAAATAACTTTCACATTTACCAACCGAGCGATTGCATCAGAGATGTTTTGGAAACGTCAATTCAGTACAATTTTTACCATGGATCGCTTCACACCATAACAGCATGCTAAAATAGTGAAACTTTACAACGAAAACAGTCATTCTATTGTGTTAACTCGGCGTGCATATCGGAAAAAATATCACGGAAAAGGCACCATCTGCCAGATCACCTGATTTAACTTGCCTCGGGCTTTTTTTTTGGTGGGGTTATTTGAAAAGCAAAGTTTACGCCAACCAGTCTCAAACTATGTATGAGCTCAAGGCAAACATTCGTGCTGTAATCGACGCTATAACACCCGAGATGCTCGTAAAGGTAATGGCAAACATAGGCGTCATTTTGTAATAGCTAATAAAGGTAGCCACTTGATTGATATTGCTAGTTCAAAAAAATTGTGAGGAAGCAAACTGAATAAAATTGCATCGCTTATAGTAACCGGTTGTTTTTTTTTTTTTTTTTTAAGTTTTTCAATGTTTACAACCCGACATACAAGATGGTGTACCCTGTATTTTGGATACATAAGTGCATATGTACTCGTATATGAATTTATTTGCGCACAAATTCACAAAGTTATGACTTTGAAATTCAATAATTTAAATAAGCAAACTTTAAGCGTAGACATTCTTTCATATTTGTTTTTGACATTGGTATATGTGTTGATATATATGTACATATCTATACAAGCATACCTGGCCGGTTTAACATTACATGACAACAAGCACATGCTAAAAAAGCCAAACAACAAATATTCAGTTGAATATACAGATATATTTCCAAACGTTGTCTGGTTGAAGAATCGTACTTTCAATCAATAAAAAAAAAAACCATTGAACCCATTAATCACTCATTTGCAAAAGAGGTTGTGTTGGAGACTTAACGCCGTGAACGTTGTAAATACATATGTATGTATTAACAAAAATATGTATATGTATATCTTTTTGTATATAACGATATTTTTATGTGGTCCGAATAATTAATAAATAATATATTTATTATATTTAATATATTTATTATATATTACTATTTAATTTTTTTTTTATTATATTTGCAAATACATACATTTATGTATATATATGTGTATATAAACACATGCATACATATTATATTAGTAAACTAGTATAGTGTTGATAAAGCACCTCGTCCACATCAATTGAGATAAGCTGAAACACTTCACTCTGTTGAGCTCTTAAAAACAGCTTAGTAATTCATATGCTATCTACGAGAATTGCATTGTTTCTAGTATTTCTTGAATTAAATATTACTCATTTTATACAAAAAAAATTTTTTTAATTAAAACCAAATGCCTTGGAACTCTTTGTGCATTCATACTCATTATTTATTTATATACATATGTACATTTGAAAATAATATGAAAAACATGCAAATTTTGAATTTTCCAATGTAACGCACTATTAATTTTTTCTTTTTTAATGCTCTACTTATTTTTTTTAAATAATTAGTTTATACACGTGCATATATTTATATACAACCGACTTTTAACTGTTAATATTTGTAATATTTGTGATCGAAAAATGATTTGGTGACTAATATTTTTGATAAATTTTTAATACTCAAGTTTCGATTGGTTTGTTTTTTTTTTTTTTTTAATTTATCAGCAATAACTACTATTTCATAATCGTATGAAACACTCTTAAAGCACTTAAAGCAATATATAGATATGTTTACATATCTATGTATGTATGTATGTACATAATGTACATGCTCATTGTGTTGATTACAGTGTTTCCATGGACAGATATACAAAATATTTTCTTCATACGTTCATTGTTGCTTGCACGCAGCACTCAATATAAACAAAAATTGTATAAAGTTGATGTGTAATGTGCAAAGTTTATTTAGTTTGCGATTTTATTTCAGTGCATACTATTTTCGTTTAGTAGAAAATAAGGCGTTTGAAATCTGTTTTGCCATCTGACAGCTTGTGATTTATTGTTTTTGTACATACACACATATGTATGTACATCTAACATATGTATTTATTTTTGAAGTATTTTAAATTTATTTATACACATGTATAGTAATATATGTACAAGTATGTATGTATGTGTTCACTTAATCCTTATCATTGTCACACTTATCCATTTGCATTCCTCTTATCTTTATTCTTTATATGTATATTTTCATTGTACATAATTAAGATAATATTGTGCACCCTTGTATGGAAATAAGCGAGTTGATATACATACATACATATATGCACAATTATACGTAGGTAGTTGTCAATTGTTGCTCGTTTTTGTTTTTGTCTTCGCTTTCCTTATAGACATTTTTTGAAAGAGTCACTATGACTTTGCACAAATTGTTTGTGGCATTCCTTTGACAACGTTTTTCTTCATTCAATTATTAGACGATAGCTCCAACTAGTGGTCACCAACCACAAATACACACCTTCTGAGCGCGTAAGATTTTTCGCGCGATATTCATATTACGCAAATTTGTTTATTTTTTTTTTTTTTTTTTTTGTTTTTTTCAATTTTATTTTATTCACTTGCTGAGCGTGCGAGCGGTCATGGCAAAATGACAAATTTTCGTATTGATAACATGTATGTATGTATGTACATATATATGTATGTATTTTTGTAAGTTATTTCGGCTGTACACGACATACATAAGTGGCAATTAGTAGACGTCGATTCCTCAAACATATCGATTATATGTACATATGTATGTATGTGTATGTCGAAAAGCATATTTTTAAATATAGCCTAATGAAATTTAAGCTTATGGCAAATATCTTATCATTATTTGAAAATACTAACTCTAACTCTAAAATAAATGCGATATAAAGAAATAAAACACACAAAAAGCTCACTAGTAATGCACAATCAAATGACAATTCTTAAAAAAAAAATGTTAATCTCAATTTTTTTGGTCACTTAATCTATATTTTAACGTTTTAATTTATATCAATTAAGATATCTTTTGAAAAAATGTGAATACTTTTGTGAAATACTTTTGCGATTTTAGTTGTGACAATCTTTCTTTTCAATTTCTTATCGTTAAAATGGCATTTAAATCGTTTGAACTTGCCTTTGATGTATGTATGAAGTTCGACATCTAATTTTACTTGAACGATTGGGTTATTGGCTTTTAGTTCTTGTTTTTTTTAACAGATTCAATATTAAAAACTGAATGCTTTTATCCCGATTTTTATTAAAGTTATGTATTTAAAACTAAAAATTTATTTTACGTTATTATTTTTTTTTTTTGTGTAACTCAGAAAACCAATAAGCAGCAGTTAATGAAATTTTGTCATTATTAAATAATTATATAACACATTTTTTTAGTGAAAAAATAATAACATAATTATGTACTCTTTTTCGCTTGAAGGCCTTTTAGAGTTTCCCATTATTTAATTTCATAAATTTTTGTTGTTCAATTGCAACAAAATAGCGAGTGTATTACTATAGGTTATGAAATTCACATTGTTAAAAAGTTAATAATAGTTAATATTTTTGGAAAACTTTATGTTATTATATCACCTAGAATTTTCTTTAAATTGAATAAACATAAGCAAATTAAAAAACATTTTTTATTAATAATAATAATAAAAAAATGTAATTTTTAATTTTTGTTAAATTTTTTTTGTAATAAAATACTAAACAAATTATTATTTTTCAATTTTAATATTTGTTAGAAAATTTTTTTCGTCATAAAATGCAAAAAAAAACTACTGAAATAATTTTTATTTCAAATTTTTAATTTTTGTTAACAATTTTTTGTCATAAAATACTAAAATAATGAAAAAAAAAATTTCAATTTAAATTTAAGATTACATTTTTTTGTTATAAAAAACCGCTAAACTGATGAAAAATATTTTTTAATTTAATTTTTGTCAATAACATGATTTGTTATAAAATGTTAAGCCATTAAATTTAAATTTTGTTAAATTTTTTTTTTGTCAAAATACTGAACGGTCTTATTTTTTCTGGTTTGTTAAAAAAAAAAATTCGGTATAAAATGCCAAACATATAAAAAAAAACGTATTTAATTTATAATTTTTTTTTTTAATTTCTGATAAAAGAAAGTGTTTGGTTATAAAATGCTAAGTTAATTGAAGAAAATTTAATTTTTATTATTTTTAACAAAATTTTTAAAGTTTAATTTTTTTTAATTTTGTTTTTGTTAAAAAGTTGTTTTGCCATAAAATACTAAGCCATTGAAAGAAAATTTAATTTTTTAATTTTTTTTTCAACAATTTTTTGCCATAAAATACTAAACAAATACAGACATTTTTTCTTATTTGTTAAAAACTAGTTCGGTATAAAATGTTAAACAAATATAAAAAAGCATTTTTTAATTTTGAGTTTTGTAATTTTTGCTAAAAAAATTCTTTCATTTTTTACAATTTTTTAATGTCAAAACTTTAGTATTTCATGAAAAGAAATGCATTTTTTTTCATTTAGATATTGTTAATAAATTGTTTTGTTATAAAAAGCTTAACTATTTAGTTTTGAATTTTTAATTTTTTTAAAAAAATTTTCTTCACAAAATACTAAACTAATAATTTTTTCGTAAAAAAAAAATCAATTTCGTTAAAATGTTAATTGGCAAAATTTTTTTTTAATAATTGTTATAAAAATGGTTTCTATATAAAAAAAAATGGTTTCTATATAAACGTTATAAAATGCTAAACTATATATATATTTTTTTTAATTTTTTTGCATAAAATACTAAACTAATGTTTGTTTGCTAAAACATTATTGTAAAATGTTAAACAAATGAAAAATAAAAAACATTTTCTTTTTTTCAATTTTTGACTATTTGTTATAAAACGTAATGAAAGAAGGATTTTTTTTGAAGTTTAGTAATAAATATGATTAAAAAAGTATTTCTAATTAAGCTTTTTTGAGCAAACCACTTTTTAACTTTTGAACAAAATGAAATGAAATCAAATTAAATTCCATTCCCACAATTATAGGTTGCAATATAGTATTTTTATTTTATTTCCAGTGCACAAATGCCAGCTTTATGACGTTTATTGTATAGATAAACAAACCTCTGTGCATAAGTATTAGTATGTGGTTGTTTGAACATTTATATCGCTTTAAATCTAAAACAATTAAATCATTATTTCCTATGATTTTTCTTTACTGCCGCTATTTCCACTATTTCCTTTAGAATGAACCTTTAAATTCAAACTTACATCATCTATACAATGTTAATTTTAGTAATTAACTAAATGGGTTTTGACTTCAAAGCAGTCACTCTACAAATGCTTAATTTTTTCTTTATAAACCGTACATATGTACATACGAGTACATATGTATGTATATGTGAACATTACACGAAATTACTTCAGTAATCATATTTCTAACCGAAATCAGAGATGTAAATACAAAATTATTTAACACTCGTCAAAAATTCAAACAAAAAAAGTTTCAAACATATGTATATATATACGTAACTCACTTTGGTGCTGGCAATTATTATAATGGTACTGAGATTTGAAAATACAAACAAAAAAGGTTTATCATGTAGAAGTATCACCAAGGCCAACCAGCACGTTGGCAATTAAAATATTATAAATGTACAAATATATAAATCTACATATTTTCACTGTCAAAAAGGAGATTCTCAACGTATTAGCACATATGTACATATGTAATTATATTATATATGTGTGTGTACAGTGGTCACAAAGCGTAAACGCTTAACTCAAGTCATGAAAAATTTGTATAGCTCTAAGAGTTATCCATCAAAATCCACACCGAATTTAATAAAAATTTATAATTTTTTTTTTTTGACAATTTTAAATTATACTTGGATGATATTGACTTGCCGTATGTGAATTAATGATTTATTTATGCTTATATAAATACATACATACATATATGTGTATGCATATACAAAGGTACACTGGCCACGTTAGATTCTTGTTCTCACAGAAAAAAAAAAGTTGCCTTAAAAATGTAAAATACCACTTTTGGTTAAATTTTTAAATTTTTGTTGTGACCATGCAACCTATTAGCAGTTAAACATTTTTTTTCACTAAATTTCAACTGATTAAAATCCATATTGCCGATGGCTTGCTGGGATTTTGTTGTTCTAGTTTTTTAAATTTATTTGTGGCATTTTTAGTGAGTTCACTGCGTTGGGGATTTTTAACGTTATTTTGCCATTTCCTTTTGACCATATGACTAAATTAGTGCGGTACATGCATGCATACAAACATACATACATATGTCTGTATGTACATACGTATCTATAATGAGAATGTTTTTGTGTAATCAAGACTCTTTTTTGCTTGGTTAGTTTTCTCTTTTAGTTAATTTTTAATTGACTTTATTTTTTTTTAAATTTTTTTTTTTTTAATATTGAACACAAATTTTTGGTATTTCACAACAGTTGAAATAGGCAAACACACATCTATCCGTACATATACTCACTCACGCACGCAACATAAATTATGCAAACTTTTCCCTCCCACATTACCTTTTCTGGTTGATTTCTAGTTCAATTTGAGGAAACGTACACTTTTTCACAATCCGTTTTTCATTTCACCGCCAACCAATAGATATCCTTTCTATACCGTCGCGTTCGAGCGCCGCGCACCAACTGGTTAAACTGCCCAACGGTTCTAGCTTTTTGTTTCGTTCGCGTTTTAGTTTAGGCACCCGCTAGCAGAAATAATGCTTTATTTTTTTTGCTTACCTCTTCGTTTTTATAGGCGGCCAATACTTGAGAATGTATATAAACTTGTAAATACATACATACCTATCTGTGTATGAGCACCATAAAGATGCCCCCATAAAATATCACTACCGGTTGACTCTCATCACTACCAGACCACCAGTTGCTGGGAGCTCTTTTTTAATCGTTTCAAGAGAGTGCTATGAGTAAAAGCTATGTTTGAGAGAGCTTCAAGTGGCAAGATAAGCGCTTATATACATATGTATGTATGTATATACATAAGTATGTATGTAAACATAAATTATTTGTTTATGTATTTTGTTAAAGAGAATGAGAATAATATTATACTGATATGTAGATACATATGTACATTAGTTTCCAAACTGGACTCAATACTAACTACCAGTTGAGCACATATATGGTGGAGTAAAACGATTTACGAATGCAGCGAGTCCTGCTTCCACCAATTTCCAAATATACAGAAAATTAATTCAAATAAAATATTAAGTTCAATTTTCTAATTACGGTCGACCCTGGGTAGAGAATATCAACCGCTCTGAGTGTATTTCAAACATGAGATAAAGGCTCCTCATAAAAATTCATCAGCAGTTCAGAGGCTTTTAGTATAAACCGTAGAACCGAATAGATATGGAACAATCTTCTATAAAAGCACACAACTGCTTGGTTTCAACCAATGCCAATGCTGGATAAGGAAGCAAAGCGTATGGATCAGGTAGTGAACGAGGATTAGATGTATACTCTCCTGTCATCAGACAAACAGTCATCGCATTCGTGGCATGGCTCCCACGACACTTTTGACCGTCATAATGTTGAGGTCGTATATAACTTCGTCTATCTGTGAAACAGCATTGAAATCCAACGCAAAACTGCCCTTGCCAACAGGTGCTGCTTTGGACTGAGTAGACTAGACAATTGAACAGTAGAGGACCTTACTTACAAAACCCAAACTCTACAGTCGCACATCATTTCAGTGATGAAAAAACCTGGTGAGTCGGGAAGAGGAAGACCTACACTATGTTGGAGGGACCAGGTGGAGAATAAAAGCGAAAAGAAAGAAAAAATTCCGCGTGGTAGCGGTATCTACGCCAGTAGAGAAGAAGAAGAAAAACATCGGTAGGCATTTAATTGTCTAATCACTGTGAGCTCAACTATTCGCATGCTGGGTTATTGTACTCATGCATTGTGCTTAAATGTATACATACATACACGTATGTGTGTATGCGTAGTGTGCAATTTTTTTTAAACATTTTTTTTTTTCAATGTAGTTTAAACATGCAAAGTCATGGTTTGATTATGATAAAATGTATTTTTTGCAAGCATGGATATGACGCAGACCTTTGGGGTTCTCATTGAGTAAAATTTTTGTCAATCAGATCCTTAATGTATATATGCATGTACATATGTAAAGAGAAAAAATAACAATATTTAAGAGAAAATATCATCAAAGTGAGCGTAATTTCTTCTGCTTTCATATTACAAATTATAGTTTTCTTTTTGTTGTTATTTTGGAAATTTGTAAACATAAAGCAGATGAGTTGCATTTTTTAAATTTATATGTATAGTTTTTTGTTTTTAGTTTTTTTTTATTATTTTTTTTTTAATAAAAAATTTCTCCTTATTAAAGTTCAATGATTTCAAGTCAAATATGAACGTGACTTTTTTTTGCCTACTATTGCTTTAGAAAAAAAATAAAATAATATAAAAAGTGAAGTTTTAAAAAATATTTATTTTATACAACATATGTATGTATATTTGATGAAAATTTGGTTAAATATTTATTAATTTGTTACAAGCTGTGCAAAATACTCTGTTTGAGGCTAAATTTTGTTTGGTAATAAAAAATAATAACCTGTAGTATATACATACATACATACATACAGTGACTCACACTCAAATCGGTCAGTGTAAAATACACCATCCTAATGCATAATGCATTTCCAATTGAGATAAAAACTAAATACTAAAATAATTTTATAAGTTTTCATTTTTGTACATTACCCCCACATATTACGTGTAAAAAACAGCCCTCAATTTTTTTTTCTCTCTTACAACAAAAAAAAACGGTACATTTCACGTTTATTAATTCTTTCTATGTGTGCACACTGAACACCGGGCACTAACTTTATTAGATTATTATAATTTGTGTTTATCAATACCAAAAAAAAAGAGGAATTTAGTAACGGTTATAGGCGGCGTGGCAGGCTATCGAACAGGTTCTTGCAATATCCATTCCTCAAGTACACATTTTCTTAAATCTTGAAGATTTTGGGAATGTCGCTGAGCCACTCTCATTTTTAAATTTGCCCATAAATGTTCAATAACATTCAAGATGGGCGACTGGGTTGGAGTTTCTATTATTTTTGGAGAATTTTATTTTTAGCAGGATTTGTGTTTTTTTTTCATTGCCCTGGGAAAATGAAAAAGTATCTGATACCTAACTTTTGACTTTGACGAATTGAAAGGCCCTTGGCGTGGTTACTGCTAATGATTTGCCTTACTTCGACTTTACTCTTTTTTTTTTTGTTTTTTTTTCCTTTTGAAGCCAAGATGCTCATTTTAACCTTTTTTAATCTAAAATGACAATATTACGACAAAAACTTCCACATTTACTTACACATTCTACTAATTTTACCGTTAGGCTTAGCTGTCTGGCTTTGAGTGTGAGCATGAAAAAACTGTGATAAAGAGTAATAAAAGAATAATATAAAATTGAGATAAATCCAAAATGTACTACTATCCGGCCTATTATGTCGTGGTAACAAAATTTACTTTGGTATTAAAACTCACCATTCAGTAAATTTTGTTACTATTTCGTATTCTGAGTTCACTGTCACCCTGTAAATTTTGTTACCAGCGAAATAGGAAGTAACAGGCAATCTGCTTTTCAATTCTTTGTTGTTAATTAATTAAAAATGAGGAAGAAGGCGCAAGTTAAGAAGTTCGTGTAAAAAAAATTACCATTTAAATTTGTCATTCAGTTTTTTCGCCTGAACAAAACAATTTGTTTAAAGCTTATAAACGAATTGACACCATATGACAAGGGAGTAGCTGTTCATTTTCATATGTAATTTTTGAATCAAAATTTTTTTTAGACAGTAGACATCGTTGCCATTTTATTTGAGGTTTCTCTCAACAATATATTTCCTTTCCCACGGTACGTCTCAGGAATTCGTTGAAAGCAAGTGTCGTAACTGCAATGCGCCAACCTTCTGTCTCTATATTTCAAATTTGATTGTCATAGAAAAACCGGGAAAATTTACTTCCCAACAACAAATGAAATGCAAATATGTACAGGGTCCGCCATCTAACATTTTTTTTTGAACTAGTGGTTATTTTGAGTGTGGTAACACTGATGTTACATCTGATTTGACAGAAAGTTAGTTGTATCCTTCCGGTGAACGAAAATGGTTGTGTATACGATTGAGGAACGCGTTAAAATAAAGCAGTTTTACTTTGAAAATGTGTGCGAAAATTACGCACGGAAATGAGCCGTAACAAAGCACTGTCCGCTCCGTATGTGCGCTTTCTTTTTAAAAAATTGAGAGAAACCGGCACAATTATTGATAAACCAACGCGTGAGAAACCAAAAAAAGTGCGTACTGCCGGTAATATCGCTGCTGTGGCCGTGAGCAATTGGTTCAAGAATTGAAGCCACGAGGCCATCCGATGCGGTTTGCCTTTGCCGAATGGGCATTTGTTTTATTGCATTAAAAAAAAAAAAAGTTACGTGGCGGACCCTGTATATAAATGAACGTTTGAAATGGACGAAAAAAGCAGTGCTGCCAAATTTTTTTCAAAGATTGTAACCAGTTCGCCAGAATACCAAATTCAATTTCGGGTGTTAAAGAAAAGTAACAAAATTTACTTTACCAGTAACAGTGCGAATAGGCCTCTATTTAGCTTATGCATCAATTAAAAGTGCAATACGATAGTGATTTCCGCACAGTCTGGTTCTGAGTGTGAGTCATTGTATATGTATGCGCTGCTGGTAATACAACAGTATTATAAATATTACAAATCTAACTCCTTAAGTGTACGTAGTATCTTCGATCTTACATCAATAATGTTATGCGCGCCATTCGTCATGTCTTAATCTTTCTTTTTTCTCTATTTCAATGTGTTGACGTTTTTTGTTACCCCAAAAGATTAGATTATCATTTCAAATTTTGCAAATCAGTATTGCAAGAATAAATTCCCCTTAAGATCTGTTTCACATACAGTCAGAGTCATAAGTCTACAAGCAGGCAGTATGAAAATGTTTGTTTCATATTTTTTTTTAAATTAAGTAATTTATTAAATTCAAATTTTACTATTCTTATACAATATTAAATGTCGAATGGTGGCGCCAAAATTCTTTGCACGTGTTCGTAAAACAGACGAGATAACGGTACTTTTAGTTTTCAACGTAACAATTCCAGCGATCAAAAGTCTACAAGCAGTTAACATATGAAGGGGTTACTTAGTAAAATATAAACTTTTTATACCTTTTAATAACGAGTCGGATATCCGCGGAGCTTTAGAACCTCCATCAAACGGTTTTTCATTGAACTTACAAGTTTGCTCGTTTCCTGAGGTGTTGTTTCAGCCCACTCTTTTAATATCACGTTTTTAAGCTGCTGCCTACTCGATATTGAGTGATTGCGTATTTTTCTTTCCAAAAGTGCCCATAAATGCTCAATTGGGTTTAAATCGGGTGACTGTGGAGGCGTGTGTAGTTGTTTGGGGGCGTTATAGAGTGACCAAAGACGTACAATTTCCGCAGTATGTTTGGGATCATTATCATGTTGAAAATAAAACCCGTTTTGCATTCCTAATTTTTCAGCGCTCGACCGCATATTACGCTTCAAAATGTCTAAATAAATATGTTTATTCATTATTGTCTCCACAAATTACAAGTGTCCCGTGCCAATGGCTGACATAAAGCCCCAGACCATCACACCGCCACCTCCAGGTTTCACCGTT